AGACGCCATTTTAAGACTCCTGCATAAATAGCATAGCTACCGATGAGTAAGAGACTGTTATAGGTGAGTGCTTATACAAAGCTGCTATTTATTCAGCAATGGCATGCAAATATTTTTTTTCCAATTTTTATTGAATGCAGTTTTTTGAAATCATATTTAGAATTGCTACTCACAAATGTGATATAGGAGAGGCAGGAATTATCTTAAGGATGAAATTCAGTTTTAGTGCTTATAGTCTTAAATCAGGGGGTTTATGTTTTGTTTTCTATTAATTAAAAGGAAAAATTAATTCCATAAATATGTACTTCTTGATTTTAAATTAATGTGTTTATTCCCTAATGTAGATCTAGGTTGTGTATGTGGGCATTAGCTGTTTCGAGTGGTTTTCCATATCTGTCAGTTTTTCTTGGTTAAATGTCAAGGTGCAGTAGTTCATCTGCAACTTTTAATTGCTCTTTGTAGCTAATATAGGTTAGAGCAGCTTTAAATATTTTTGTATATGTACATTTTTTTCAGGTAAGTACTACTACTACTACAGGAATGATTTTCCTAAACAGAAAAGTCAGTATTTTATTTACTGGTCTGAAATTCGAAAAACTGAATTTCATATTAAAAAACCCATCCTCTCTTCAGTTTAATAGAGAACATATTTAAAAATTAGGCAGCTAAGTTCTTTTTGCATTTTTACCGAAGTATCAATAAATCTTGTATGTTTGCAATCCTTATTTTTTTTTCTTTCTGCCCTCAACTATCCCAAAGGAAAAACCTCCACCCCTTCTCCCCTCATTCAGACATGTTAAAATAATTTGTATGAAACAAATTAGTTTAACATTTTAGAAAACAATTTCTTTTTTTTTTTTTTGTAAGTTTTGTCAATAGGAGTAGGGAAGTTTTAAATGATTAATTGGTGTTCTAGTCAATTGACAGTGAAACTGACAAAGCTTAAATTTCAATTGTGTTCTTAAAATATGTTCCTCTGTGTTCATTCATCTTAATGAGGAAATAAGAGTGGCTTTCAGAATGACATACGGTATTTATTGTATCTAGGTACTTAATTGAATATATACCAGTATCGTTTCTGATCTGCAACCCCAGAACATCACATTCACAGTAGACATGCATGACAGCAATGGATGCTGTCAGAAATAACAGCTCTAAGTGCTGCAAAAATGAATTATCAAAATAAAGCTCTCTAGAATAGTCTACTTGATCACACAGTTACTGTCTCCATAGAACTAGACACTTGTTTATAATTATTTTGCTGCTGGTTTTAATTTTCTTTTTATTTTGTTGTGGGTAGTAGTAAGGTACCTGTCATTAGGGACCTGTTTTTCTTGAATTATTTAATTTGAAATCCTTTGCCAATGAAATTTCTGCGTTTGGAATTTTTGTGCTTTATAATGCCTTTTCAGAGTATTGCCTATATTGATGGAAGGTGCAAAGGTGGAAAGATCTGTCAATTTTAAAAAAGTTCCTGTAAACTTGCTGTGAATTGCTAGCATGTATTTACAAACTTGCGTCTTAAAGATTACCACTACAGTCATCGGTGCCACCATTCAAACAATGTCATGTTGTGCAAGTCATAATACATTACAGCAAATAAAACAATGGGAGATGCTTCTGAAAAGCTGTGAATTTTAAGTATCTTTTATAGCTATGTCTAATACACTTACTTAACTGTTCTTCCCCAACATTGTTATTTTTTTCAGAACAGTCTCAGTGATTTTCTTACGTGCTTAAATGTTTGTGCCCTGAAAAGATTGAGTGAGATTAATTATAGTAGAGAATATGGAGAGGCAATCTGTTCCTCTAAGGCTCAGTTTTCATAGTATAGTAGGTAATTGCCGAGTTCTGTTTTAGTTGCGGGTGACGCGCAGTGTGCATATGTGTGATTAGGATGTATGCACCTCCATTGCTAAGAACCTTTGTGTCAGGTGGTGATTGCATTTTTGACTCTTCATTTATAGTCCAAATCTTTGGGAAAGCTGTCTTCAGGCATCTTTTATGTGATGTATCAGAGATGTGTCAAGTCTAGGTATACTTTGTTCATCATGGAACTGCACATGAAGAATGTTTTTCTTGTTTCTATAGATCTATTGAAAGAACACTCAAAAAGGTGTTGGAGGAAGCCGGCTGAATTTCCTAAATTAAACTCATTAGATGGGGAGAGAAAGATGTAAAGCTGAAGAACCTCATATGCTGTAACTGATATGTGGGAGTTCTGACCTGTAAGCGCCCACAGTGCGAGGTTTGGGCCCACAGGTGCAGAGCATCTTCTCTCAGCTCAAGCTTCCTCTGCTGCTGGGGTCAGGGATGTAGGAACAGGTCCTGCTACTGTGTTGCTGTATTGATGTGTCACCCCTGTTTCTCAACTCTGTGTCTTTTAACACTGACAACTACTCTATCATGTTGTGTCATGTTCCCCTGAGGTTGTGACTTGAACAAAATGGCACCCGGTAGATTTGGATCAGTCTGGAATGTTATGACTGCTTTAATGTAACTTAAATGTGAGCTGCTGCTAAAAGGATATGACTCTTTCCCCCCCCCCTTCCCCACATGCAGTTCACTCCCATTTCCTCTTTTCTGCACATCCAGCTGCACAGTGAGCTAGATCACAGATCTCATTCAGTTAAAATGAACGTGATTTCTGCAACGTGAGGTTAGGGATTGGGGAAACCATTCCTTTTAGTAGCAACCTGTGTAAAATGATCATGTGACTTCAACCTGAGTCTTGTAAAGACTTGTATGTCCTAGACTGTGGCTGAAACTGGATCTGTATTTTAAAACCAGGTAATGCTTACTGCCAAGTTACTTAATTCTTGACAGAATCAGTGTGTTTTGTTACATATTTACCTGTGTACATTAGTAATCATATATACTTGATGTTTTAAAAGTATGAGTTTTGTTACAGTTTGGTGATACTGAAATGTGATTTTGTAAGGGGGGAAGGGAAGGGAAAAAACCGCAATGCAACATGGAAAGAGAATGATGAATCAGCCCTGTGAGCCCATCCCTTTCCATTGCTTAGGAAAGAGAATGGGTAAAGGCAAGTGGTGCATGAAGTGTTTTGGTGTCTGCAACACATTGCCAGCTCCTCTTTGCTGGAGGCCCTCTGGGAAAGGGTGTAACAAATGTGCAGTATAATTGATCTGCCCATGCATAATAAATTGGTGAGCATTGTAGTATGGTCAACTATGTTATGCATTTAATCTGCCTATGCAAAATAAGTCTGAGAAGCATTGTGCCACAGTCAGTTGTGCTACACATTTACCATAATTCTGGTCACATGAGTGCTTTTCCTTGCTACTGAAATTATCAGCATAGTCCATGAGCTGGGATACTGGATGCTGGTAGAATAGAACTTCTCTTCAGTGTTTTATGACTTTAAAGAGCTTAATTTGTAAATTATTGCTATATACAAACGACAAGTAAAGAATAATGATTTCTGGAGTTCACATATCTTCTCACCTTTGGGTCTTCCACATACTGAGCTTGGTTAATTTGTATTTAGAATTTTTGCTGACATAACTGTCCTGTTTAGAAGTGTGAGAGGAATTGCAACCCAATCCACTGATAATTGATTAAAAGTAGTTTTGACAAATACCAGACTAAAAAGTCCTTCTGCTGCTAAGTTTTACTTTGTTTAGGAAGCTGTTTTAACGTATACCAGTAACAAAACTCCTGCTAATATAAACTGTTTGTCAGGCTGAAGAGTTTCTCTGATATAAATGTAACCAAGTCCGCAGTGTTGTTTCCGAGCTCTGGTTAGCCGTCTCGGGCAGATTTAACCACAGTTGCTAAAGCAAAGGTCTCTCGCTGTCCTCTTGGCCTCTGCAGTAGAAATAGCTGTCCCCCGAGCTGGGATGGCTGAATGGGATCTCAGTCCACTCCATAGCAGTGGTAGTTCACAGTCTGCCATATCAATGTAAACTGGTATCAGCAACAACTTACATTAAGAGACTGGACAGTAAACTCTCACTACATAAGAATAGATCTATATCCTGGTTTGCTGTTGTGCACTGGTGATATTAATGGACAACTCTGATACTGCTTCAGGCACCATGACCTCATTTGTCTACCATTTTGAAATTGGGCTTGCTTCAACATCATGTGTTTTCTTTTATCTTTCATCTACGATAGTCAGATCTCCAAAATGGTGTGTAACTTAATATTTATTCTAGTTCTTTTTTCCTCTTCCGTCCACCTTCCTTCCCCAAACTGACTTAACTAGCCAAATTCATTGACTTATTTTCTTGAATGGCATCACTATAAGAAAGTAGAATATCAACAAGTCAGATACAGTTTGTTGTCTACTGAATTCACTCCAGGCAGGATTAAATGGTTAAAACTGTGTAAGATTGAATTGTTTAATTGATAGTAACAATCAGTGTTCTGTTTACTCTTTGTTATAGTTAATAATTGGTGGAATTGCATTGCCAATAAATTATATTCCGTTTTCTGTTATATAGTTTCAAAATTTTTGAATTTATTTATTTAATATTTTAAAAAATTGCATGTTACCTTCTAATTTTGCAAGCTGTTCTGTATTGCTAACTCTGTGGTTCCAGCTAATCTGTTCACTGATGCTGGTGAGTGTTTAAATGTTAGCAGGCATCTGTCCACGCAGTTTCCAGGGTTCTTAGGTCAGGAGCCACAAAGAACAGAATTCCTGTTTGTTGCATACAGTTTATACATACAGTGACATAATCTTCAGTACATGTTACAAGACTGTAATTAGTATGAAAATTAGTATGACTTTCATTAGTATGGAAATGTTACCATTATGATTGATAAGATGCAGCATACATGTGCTGCAATACCTGGATTGTTTCTCTACTTCTTTTGGCCAAACAGCTGTTGTCTGGCAAACAGCAAACCTTTCATTTAATCAGAAACTTTAATATAGTTGTATTTGACAATGTTACGTTGAACTTCTATACGTGACGTATGGGTATAATACAATCTATAACTGTTCTAATTCACCTTTTTGAATCCCGCAGCTTGGCTGAAGAGGAAATAAAGGCAGAGCAGGAGGTGGTGGAGGGGATGGATATCTCCACTCGATCCAAAGGTGAGTAAGAAGGAATATTTCATCTATGTTCTACAGCATATAAATATTTGTAATCAGGGTAGTGAAACTGTATAATCTACCATGAAGTTGCCCTTGAGTGAAGAGTCAAGACTTATTATATTTTTTACAATGACTATTGTATGTTAGAAAGTGTTTTAATTCTTACTTGTCATAATGCTTTAATGATTGCTACTGAATGGGGTAAGCTCTCAGCTTTGTATTCCCGCTCCTTGCTTCCTTTGGGGTGCTTGTCAGATCCCCAGCCACTTGAACTTTCTAACCAACTTAAAAACAGAAACACTTTTCTGCTGTTGCAGTGACCAGTTTGCTTGTGAAAACAGTGTGAGAACTCCATATAGGAGACAAAGCGGGTTATTAAATGCATTTAGCTGCCCAGGAAATCTCACTTTCATTTCTCCTTAGAAAGACTTTGGCTCACATATTAGTACTAATAAGAATTTCACATGCATCAAGTGAGCTAAACTATTATTTTTGTCACTCTGACATAACCAATGTCTAGAAGTCATTAATGAGTCTGATATCTTTTACTGCTGTTGCTTTACTGAGCCCAGAAACTGGTGTATGGTGCATATGAAAAGTTGTGATTCCCTTACATTAGTTCTAGTGCTGATCTGACCTTAAGGTGTACCATTTCAATTAAGCCCATAGGAAACCTTTTACTTTTTTTTTTTTGTAGGGTTAAGATGAAGTTTCCCAGGACAGTGAACTGATTTAATACCTCATGGTTATTGAAAGGGTCAGTCTTTCATCTCTCAGCCTTCTCAGCCACGTAATCTTGCAGCTCCCCTTGCTTTGTGAGTTCTGATCAATTCACTCTGGTCAATTCAGAGGGAGCTAACATGGCAGAAAAAAAATGAGTTTACTGTTGATACAACTCCCTGAACCAGCTCATGGGCAAGCTCTGGTCGTGGCTGAAAGGAGAGTGGTTTGGAAGACAAAGCCAGGATCACCACAGTGCTGCTTAGACTGGCCCAAGCTGTCGTCGTGTGGCAGTCACTGGTCTGTACACAGTAGGACTCTTAGTGTTTTGAACACCAGTGAGAGAGATCTGAACGGCCATAGTAAAGATAAAACTTAACAGAGGTTGTATAAATTGAAGAATAATAATGGAATTTATGTTTATTTAACTAGATACAGATTTGTTTTAATTGATTTGTTGAATTTGACATGTATGTCAAATTGCTAGCAGCTCTCTAAGGGCTAGAATAACAACCACCCATGGCAAGCTCTTACAGGTATATATCTTTATCAGTGAGGAAGTGGTGTGAGTTGTAAGGAAATCTTGGGACTTGTCTATAAGCCATCTTGCTTTGTTGTATTCTCTACCAATCTATGAATTAGCGGTAGAACAACAACACTACTTGAATAGGTAGTTTTGCATAGAAAGTAAAAGGATCATAAATGTCATCTGCTTAGTACAAGAGCTGGCCGTATTACAGACCTGCTAAACTTAATCTTTCTGGACTTCGTTATGTGAGTTGAGACAAGTTCCTCTGTTAGTTCAGTGCGGTGTTTGCACAGCAGAGAAGTCACAAACCAGAATTCTAAAGCTGTTACTATGCTCGCATAGGGTAGAGAAAGTGCAGCAGCCTTCTAATCTGGTGGGATAGTGGTAACAGTGTTTCCTCTTGTAACATTAATCTTGTTAGAATTTTGCCTTATATGTTGTAGAAAGGATGTGGATGAGGAAATTGACCCTATATAGACAACCCATAAGGGAAGCATACAGCTCTTGGTTTGTTTGGGTTTTTTGATGGTGTGAGAAGCCTGTACAGGAGATCAATCAGTGGTATTGTATAACTTCACACTTGATCTGGAGAAGCTGATATGCTGCAAGTTTGTAGCCTAATTGCTCTGCTGCAGTTTGTTTGTACAGCTCATGTGAGGTCGTGTCTAAAGAAAGTTGTAGGAAAATAAATTAAAATTGCTTTAAAACCAATTAGCCTCTTCATGAACATTCTTGTTTTGGTATAAGCAGTTTAATTTTAACTGCTATAAATCAATTGCAATTCAGTGTAAGCTAAACTGAAACATGCATTGTTTAATCTGTAACAAGGGTGTTAAAGTAGCCTTTTGAATGGGTTTAAGTAAGGTGGTGGTTTCAAAGCAGCCTAAGCTGGTCAAACTGCTCAGTGCAGCAGTTGTATCCACTTCCTTCCATACCTAAACTGGGAGGAAACTAACTGAACTGTAAAACATGCATAGTTTTCTGTGCAGAAATGGCTTGGTAGGCTGCCAGAACTGGTGTAAGAGAGAGGGCAGGAATGTACCAGTTGGGTGCAGGGAGTACAGAGCTTTGTTGGCCAGCATTTAGATAGGGTTAGGCGGTAATGAAACTAGAGCTTAAAACCATTACTGACACTTCTTACTTTATAATGTGATAAGTGAGAGTGAGTCTATAGCTGTGGTCAGAGCTATCCAGACCTCCACACTCATCTTCAGCTGCATTTTTTCTACCCTTCTCCTTGGGCTGGCACTGGTACTTATGCTGTTGCATAGGAAACTATATCAAGCACCTGACCTAGCTGAAAATTGATATTTTTTTTGTAGTATTAGTTTTTGCCTGAATCATGAAATGATTAACCCTACTATTACATACTGTCTGTCTGCAAAACGTTGTGGGGACAGACACCTGGTGAGGTGGGGAAGGGAAAAAGAGGAGAGTTACTGGAGCAGTTACAATTTAGATCTGCTAATAAGCTGTGCATGTTCAGCTTTACTAAAGGTGAGGTTTTAAAATACACTACTCTCTTGATCATAACAAGAAGGCATAAGGCATCTGAGAACTGGAAATCGGACATGACAGCCTGAAGAGAAAAAAAGGAGTGCAAAAATACAAAATGGAGTCAGCAGAGGATTGCTGTTTAGCAAAGGAGAAAAGCCATGGATTAGATTATTATAATATTTTGTCCTCTGCATATGATACATTAACATGTCTGACAGAAACATCTTGTTATATTTCTGTTCCAGCCCTATGGCCTACTTTTTAGCCTTGTTTATTAAATATTTCAAGATGGGGCTTGCAAGGCTTTCTGGAGAATTTTCTGAGTGTTTCCAGGTTGTGGTTCCAGGGCAGAATAACCAACTTTATTGTTTGGTGCAGTTCTGTCTTCACTTGCGCTTGTTCTCCTTGGACAGCAGTGAACTCTCCACTGTGCTTTTTCATCCTACTAATATGGAAGAATTTTATTTTTTTAATTTTTTTTTAAATTTTCAGGTTAGTTTTCTTCTAGTTTGTGTTACTTACAGTAGTTAGCTGTGGTGGCCGATGGAATTCCATGTAGGTTTCATATGTTTCAGCTAGTACTGTAACCGTTACCTGTCTAATGACTAGTCAGAAGGAGCTCTTTTACTCTTTTTTTTCCTTCATCAGTCATACATCCCTTACATTTCCTTCGTATCTCTGCTGGCTCTTAGCCAGTTCTCTGCTGAGTCAGTTAAGGACTTGGGTTTGGGTATGGAGGTAGTTTTCTACTTGCTTATCTTCCTGAAGCACCTGACCTAGCTGAAAATTGATATTTTTTTTGTAGTATTAGTTTTTGCCTGAATCATGAAATGATTAACCCTACTATTACATACTGTCTGTCTGCAAAACGTTGTGGGGACAGACACCTGGTGAGGTGGGGAAGGGAAAAAGAGGAGAGTTACTGGAGCAGTTACAATTTAGATCTGCTAATAAGCTGTGCATGTTCAGCTTTACTAAAGGTGAGGTTTTAAAATACACTACTCTCTTGATCATAACAAGAAGGCATAAGGCATCTGAGAACTGGAAATCGGACATGACAGCCTGAAGAGAAAAAAAGGAGTGCAAAAATACAAAATGGAGTCAGCAGAGGATTGCTGTTTAGCAAAGGAGAAAAGCCATGGATTAGATTATTATAATATTTTGTCCTCTGCATATGATACATTAACATGTCTGACAGAAACATCTTGTTATATTTCTGTTCCAGCCCTATGGCCTACTTTTTAGCCTTGTTTATTAAATATTTCAAGATGGGGCTTGCAAGGCTTTCTGGAGAATTTTCTGAGTGTTTCCAGGTTGTGGTTCCAGGGCAGAATAACCAACTTTATTGTTTGGTGCAGTTCTGTCTTCACTTGCGCTTGTTCTCCTTGGACAGCAGTGAACTCTCCACTGTGCTTTTTCATCCTACTAATATGGAAGAATTTTATTTTTTTAATTTTTTTTTAAATTTTCAGGTTAGTTTTCTTCTAGTTTGTGTTACTTACAGTAGTTAGCTGTGGTGGCCGATGGAATTCCATGTAGGTTTCATATGTTTCAGCTAGTACTGTAACCGTTACCTGTCTAATGACTAGTCAGAAGGAGCTCTTTTACTCTTTTTTTTCCTTCATCAGTCATACATCCCTTACATTTCCTTCGTATCTCTGCTGGCTCTTAGCCAGTTCTCTGCTGAGTCAGTTAAGGACTTGGGTTTGGGTATGGAGGTAGTTTTCTACTTGCTTATCTTCCTGAACCAGATTACTAGGGAGTTGGACAGATGTCATTGCTAGGAGCAGACCTGCCCCCATCAGTGACAGCTAATCATGAGATGGCTTTAGCTTGTCATAAAATCATATACTGAACTACTACTCCTTAATGGTGAGAATTCTGACTTTTACAGCTTTTGCATTGCTGCAGGTTTGTGTCGAAGACTGCGGTCTTACAGGCTTCTCTCAGTGGTAAAAGGTTCAGATACTACGAATATAAATGCAAAATGACTAATAAAATGGAAATTCCAGAATGCGTTATATATTTTGTAACAGTTTCATAATAGTATATTGTCCATCAACTTTCTGTGCAGTGTTACCAAGTATTTAATCACTCATAGAGATGAGTTTCTCTCTCCAATGTGAAAGGTAATTTGAGAATCCTCCAGTGCACAGTAGTATAGCCCCAGGCTTTATCTCCAGTGTTGTGACTCCGTAATCAACAGGGGGTCTTCAGGAGTGCCTTGGGGCAACAAGTCCCCCTGCAGTCGGCCTCTAGTTGATAAACAGCTTACATCTCTTATATTGCAAATTGTTGGGAAGTGTTGCTTTTTTTTATTTTCCAAATTTCTACAATGAGGAAAGAAGTAATGGTGTCTTTATGTGCTTGTGTAAAATTGTAATGCAGTAGGAGTTCATCGGGATTTACACAACCATGGTTAACCTCTGTTATTTATTACATTAAGCAACTGGTTTGGGTTAATTGCATCAGTTGAAGTTTCTGGAATGTAAACAGGGCTTTAGTGCTCGATTGCAACTGCATCATATTTCATAATTCTGGCATGAGATTAAAATGCCTCAGTTGAGTATAAGTTCTAACAGATTTATCCATGATTTTGGTAAGTGTTTTGAAGATAATTAAGCTTGCTATAGTATTATAGGTAATGGATTTGAAAAATCATATATCTATTAGTGACCATTCAGGATAATAAATATAATTGGGAAACCTTACAGTTCTGGAATCTGTATAAATTATTAATTGAAGCCTGTTCTATCAGATTGGATTGTAATGATGCTGACAATGGAGTTAGTGTTGCTCCTTTTTCTCTCAGAATTCTTCATCGATTTCCCTCACGACCATTTAACGTACATGCATTCAGAGCTTTTGAGGAGGAGGAAAGAAGAGAGAAGTGACCCTCTAGATGGAAGTCAGTTTCTGGTTTTTGTTTATTTTTTTTTGTTCTTTCTAAAGGCATAGTTACACATTTCTGGGGGGGTAATGACAGCTTAAGCAGTCTTCAAGTCACCTTTGTATTCTTGCACTTTCTCTCACTGCTGCCTTCCTTTGTAAGCTAGCCTAGCTGTTTCTTACAGCCATCAAATTAATTCTTCATGAAACTGCTTTAATGACATTTTTCTTCTTTTGTCCTCTTACATTTCATCTAATTTAATTCCTTGATCTGGTTCACCAAATGTTGGCAGAACTATTTGTGTCATAATAAAAGGGTTCACATGGGATTGGGAATTAATGTTAACAGAAGTAGCCTTGGGCTGGCTCTGTTTAACTAACACTTCTGCAGAGTGTCTAACTTATGTAGAACAATTGACTAGGTTTCTAATTGGAAACATTTAGAATTTTGCATTGAGATAGCAAAAACTGACTTATATCACAGAAAACTTGTATTGGTGTAACTAAGTCTCAGTTTACTGATATTTGATACTGTTCCTGGAAGACTAAGTGCTTTCACTAAAAAAAATGCTTTGCTCTTTCTGCTCCTGGAAAACCAAAATGACTGTAAATTTTACCATCTTTATCACAACTCACATTGAAAAGCTTTTTTGATTTAATTTTTTTCTGTTTAAACAAATGTGTTTCTGACTAGTTGTAAAGTGTGAAATTAAGTTGCTTTAGGCTTTGAGTATGCTTTAGTCTGTCTCCTGTGAGCTAATCCTTTAATCACATGTTGGCATACTGAAATAAAGATTCTAAACTTCAGGTGAAGCTCAGGTTAGCTTGTTGGTCCCCAATGGATGGGTTTTGAGGGCACTCATAGGTGTTTATGTCAACCATGGCAACGTTACAGAGCAATTAACAATAACCTAGTGATGTAAAACCAGGTAACTTTTAATAAGAATTTAAAAAGTTATTCCAGGTGTCTGGTTTTCACTTGTGGTGGAAACATGATTTTGAAATAATGCTAAGAAAGCAAAATCACACACTCAAAAATCAAGAAATAAGTGGGGTAAGGTTGCTTGGCAAATTAATTATTACAATTGGTTTATCAATTAAATATTTATTTATTATTTTACTGTAATGTCCTTCATTTAGTACACTGAACATTTCATTCCTTGTTGTCATTCTGAGTGCTGAGTAACTGCAAGTGATCTCAGCCTTTTCAGTTAGAAAAGCGGGTGCACGAGTGGATACCTGTCTGCAAAGTTTGGTTCAGGTTGACTTGCTCAGTATATGATAAGAGTTTTGTAGAAAAAGCAGGGAGATTGCAGAGGTATGTACTAACTGGTGACAAAGTGGCATGGTGAGTTAATCTCCAAAGTGAGATTGTTCTTGCTCATTAAACACCTTTTAAAAAACATTTACTTGACATAGAAGAGATCATACAAATTCTTGCTGTTCCATTTTGGAGCAGAAACTTGAATCCACCTTGTAGGTAACTATCCTAGTCACCAAGTTATTGCATTGCAATTTGGTCTTTTTTCTTTCCTCTTGGATTTGTTTCACTTTGAAGTAATAAATATTAAGTTAAACTACATTGGGGAAGTGATCCAGGCTAAAAATTAACTTTCCTCCTGACGGGTTATTTTAATGGGGGGTGAATTTCTTGCTCTGGTTCACAGCACAGCTACACTAACTCTGCTAACGTAGCTGGAAGAGCCAAGCAGGAAGAAGAGGCAGCATGCACTAAGTGAGGCACTGCTGTTGAAAGAACTCAAAATGCAATTTGAGCATTTTTCATCTTAATTAGAATTGGAAATGATAACTCTAACAGTTTAAGTATGTGCTACCATTCTTATTTTACTTGAAGGTCTCTCATTAGGACCTTATTAGATCCCTCATATATTGATAAATTGGCAACATATAGCGGTAGTTATTAGCCTATTCCACTAGCACAACTAAATCTGAAAGAAAATGCCTGTGCATTGCTTCATTTTTCCAGTTATGTCTTACATTTCTTCAAGAAAATCTCTGCATTTCAATAACTTGCCAGTTGAGAAAAAAAAAAGGTATATTTCAGGTCAGTTTTTTTTATGTTGTCTTTGAATCACCACTGGTTTACTTGAAAATCCCTAGTATGCTCAGGCTTGAACCACAGAAGAAAATTACACTAGTTTAAGTAGTTTTTGAAATCACTTAACCAAGCATATATGTCTGTTGTGATCATTTGGTGTGATCGATTGGTTTAATCGGTATTGATTCAGTATCTTTTCTGTTGAAGTGTGGTTTGGATTTGGCTGTGACTGAATTGTAATTCAGTTCTGGTTTAGCTAATAACAGTTTAACCCTTTTCCTGACCCTGAACCAGTTAGTTTAGGAAGAAACAACATTTAAAAGTGAGAAGCACCATATTACGTGAGCAGGCCAATGATGAGGAACTTTACACCTGATTTTCTTTTTTCATATTTGGAGCTGAGGCATAATGCACAGTGTCACAGGCAGCTTCTTTGTAATCCCCACAATCTGAAGCTGAAGAGCTGGTGTGTTCCACTGGTGGTAGTTTTGCTCCTGGGAGTTAAAAATGGAAGCCAAAGGGCAGAAAACTGTACTCTTCTGTTGCTCTCCTAGTTTAAGCTGTGCTTGCATATGTACAGTCTGGAAATAAAAGTCTCTTAAGTGAGTTATCATAGAATCATAGAATTGTCCAGGCCAGAAGGGACCTCCAAAGGCCATCTAGTCTGACCCCCCCGCAGTCAGCAGGGACACCCCCAACTAGACCAGGTTGCCCAGGGCCTCATCGAGCCTCTCCTTGAATATCTCCAGGGATGGGGCCTCAACCACCTTCCTGGGCAACCTGTTCCAGTGCTCCACCACCCTCACAGTGAAGAGGAGTTATGGTGAGGGCTCCAGTGCTCCACCACCCTCCCAGTGAAGAGGAGTTATGGTGAGGGTTTTATTTGCTGGAGAGAAACGCAGGATTGGAGATCCTTGCAAGTACTTTGAGGATGTTGTTTGGTGTAGAGAGAGACAATTCTGCAGATCTCTCTGCATTGGGAAAACAAAGATTAAGGCATGGTCAGCACTTTACAGTAAGAGTAGTTTTCTTATACAGTGCCTTCAGGAATGTATGGAAAGTCTCTGTTGGGAATTACAAATCATAATAAAGAAACAAAGACTTATATTGTACATGCTGTTCTGAGCCATGTGGTGATGGAAGGATGAGAAAAGATATGCTATGATGCTGTTTTTGCTGATCACTCTGAATGCAAACAGTTCCCATGCTGAATAAGCTCTGTCCTACTTTTAATGAAGAAAAGGAAAAAAAAAAAAAGAATTCAGAGCTTGTTTTGGTTTTAGGTTTGATCGCTTTGGTGAAGTTGTGGGTTTTGATTTAGCTGACACTGGTGCTGCAGTGTTTCTTCCAGGGTAGCTGTATTGGCTCAGCTCTCTGGGGATACATGAAGCATATGCCAGCCAAAGGAGTTCTTCTGCCACCTTCTGTGCATAAGTAGCGAAACTGAAAAAAACCTCCTATGACTATACCTGTGAGCATAGTTGTAGCTGTGTTAGGATTTTTATAGTCATAATTGCCTAAGCAGGGGAGGAGGCAGACATTATATTTTTCACACATTTAGGTGACGTACCTTACCTGGCAATTCGTTGTATTGTCAAATGAACCTAAGTTTTGGCCTAAATGGAGTGGGAAGCAGACACACTTGAATTGAAACAAGTCAAATAACAATAATGGTCTCAGCTACATTATATTGGTTTAGTTCAGCATATTTTTTCAAAGTGTTTTGTTATGTTGATAATTGGGTGGCTTCTTGACATAGTTTCACTCTTTCCACTAAATAACATTTTATTTTCAATAAACTTAAGCATATATGCAAACATGCCAAGATTATATTGTGTGTATCACTCCTATTTTTACATCAGTAACATTTGCCCTTTTTCACAAAAGAAAAAAGTAATTTGTTCACAGTCAATTCATTCTCAACTATTGTTCCAAATACATTTTTTTCTATTTAGAAAAAAACACATAGGTTGTTAATCTTACCTCCATTTGTGCAAATCATTTGTGCAAAGCATTTTTGTGGCTGTACAGTGAACGGGGTCAGAGAAAAGTTATTTTTTTAAACAGATTTTATTCCTCAATTGTTTAGTGTGCAGCCACAAATCATTTGCATTAGCACAAGCAGGAGATTGAAAATACAGAAGTTACTGTGGGGAGGGTTCAGTTGTTGATGACTTCTGATCCTTATGGTTATCTGACATTTTGTTTTGTTGCATGCATTGAAAGCTTAATGAAAAATTAAACATGCTAAACCCACTTTCTTGAACTTTCACTTATATTTTGTCAAGATCATTTCACTGATCTATGATTGTCTATTACAGCTGATTGCATGCTTATTTTTTTTGAAAAATGTCAGTAAGTTCTTTGTAATTGAGCTGAACATTCCATATTCATTAGGAATTATTTAAATTTTGTTCTGAAAAAATGAAGTCGCAAATGCTCTTATTTTTATCTAGCATATTTCTGATGAGCTTGTCAGTGATTTTTTTTTTAAAGTGTATTAATTCTTTTAAGGTTGTAAATAATTCCTTCTGAATATTCTGATGAATTGACTTGGTCACAAAACAGTGATTTTTCTGCTTGTTTCATAAAATGCAGTTCAGAGCCACTAGGGCTGCTTAAGTTGTTGGTGTGATGAGTTTACACTAAGATGACAATCTATGAGCACTGAAACACAGGCACAGGGTCCCTTCTGCCAGCTTTATTACTTTGGATAGTAACTTCAGGCATAGTTGGAAGCTGTGACTTATTAAATGACTATTGTAATTTACTTGGTTGAATGTGAGAGCTCTGACTGTGAGAGACACTGAAAAGTTGCAACACTTTGTTGCTGTATCTTGCTGTCAAGTTACTAATTGACTGGGAATCTTCTTAATTTTGTCTTTTTACAGTCCAATTTAGCAGGTAATACAAATGACTAAGTATTTGAGGTAGCATATTTATTTTCAGACTGTAGGACTATTTCCTTTCTTCCATTGACATATTCCAATAAGTATATTTAAATATGAGAAACAAATGATGAAGACCATCTTTCTTCTTACTATGTTTTAACTTCTTTTGCTTGTGTTCCTAAGTTACATGAGTGAATCTGTCAGGGACTGTTGATGTTGTTTCTCTGCTTTTGAAGTGTATTGACATAAATTAGCATAGCACTCTGCTAAACTACAGAAGTAATTGTTGTTATACTTTAAAAGATGCTAAAATTTGACATGAGATGAATGGCCAGAATGCTGTGGGAAAAGAAAAACATATTTAATCTTAATATAAATTACCAGATTGAGAATTCACTTAACAGCAGCATTGCTTACCAAATCTGTGTTTCCAGTTTCATCAGAGGCTGGGTGAAAGACAATTGAGAATTTTTGTTCTGCTCAGTGAAGGAGTGTGAATGACAAACCATAATCTTGTTCATATGTTTTTCATCGATAGGCACTCTTCAACCCAACTGTTTGTATCTGTTACAGATCCTGGCTCTGCCGAACGCACAGCACAAAAAAGGAAATTTCCCAGCCCTCCACATTCCTCTAATGGTCACTCACCACAAGATGCATCAACAAGTCCTATAAAAAAGAAAAAGAAACCTGGTCTATTGAACAGTAATAATAAAGAGCAGGTAAGAGAAGTCATGGTATTGCTCTGCTAGATTGTGAAACAATGAAGGATGTAGAGCCAGCTGATCAGGAGCTCTCTCCTCTTTAGAAAGCTCCATTTTTGTACTCTAAGAAGAGGATGTTAATTTTTGTTTGCAGTGGGTGTAGAAGTTGGCATTGTAAGTTCAATTTGGATGTTCTTTTATTTTTGTTTTACATCTGTATGAGAAAAACCACCTGTGTCCCGTTTTTTGATTTCATAAAGCTAATGTGATATATAACCAATAAATGCAATTTTGAACAAAAGGATGATGAAGAAATATAATAAAAATACAGCAACAGTAATAGTGTTATTAATTAAAAGCATTAAAAGGAAATAAATATTCAGTGGTGTGATATCCTAAATTAAGAAAGACCTCATAATGTCTGTCTAAGTCCCTCATCTGCCTTCAGTCCTACTGCCAGTTATTAACAAAAGTCCAGCTCCTCCTTTGGTACTCTGCAGATTCCCTCCCCTTCCTTTCAATTGCTGGGCATTGTACACTGCTACCAAACTACTTAAAGGCCCACACTGACAGTACTTTTCAGTCTTTGTGCTTGAAACCAGATTTTCAGTGTCTTCTGAATACACATTTTATAGCATTTGTTGTAGTTTTTAGAAGAATTTGAGTCTAGAAGACTTTGACAATTTCTGATTCATTGTATGATGAAAGTGAAAGAATTGTATGAAGAGTATTGAATAGCAAATGCTACAAAGCACCTGCATCATCTTGGAGGAGATGACATGAAAGCAGTCTTTAGCCTTACTGAAAGTATTTTTCATCTAATTTAATAATGACATGCCTATGTATTTTTCCAAGTGCTTTTGTGTGTCAATGTATTTTGTCAGGATTATATAAACACAGGATTAAGTTCTGAGGGTTTAAAGCACTTTTCCCTAGTGTAATAGCATCCACATTAAATATTATACTGGTACAATTGCACTGGATAAGAAAGAAAATGAAATTCCCAATCACTGCGGTTGTCCTGGAACAAAGACTTTCAATAAATCAGGCCTTTCCAGAGAGCAGTGTCAAGCATATTTTATTTAAGGATAATTGGGAGGTCTAGTAATAGCATGTGTAGACTTACTCGTACTAGTTTAATGTGGCCAGTTTGACTTTTACTGAGCTTCAGTGCAGGCTGTATAAATCTGTGTACATGCTGGACTTTTACTGGGGACGTGTTGCCCCACTGAAGTCTGAGCTTCTGACTGTGCAGTGTAGAGGTAATTTTAAGAACAATGGAATCTTAGGGTATTAATTTCCATGTTTTATTCATGCATTTAAAAATATATGTGAAAACACAATCGCAGTTGCTGAACTTGATACATTCCCCTCAGTAAATCCTTTCCTATTTTCCAGGTATCTCAGACCTGAAATGTTACAGGATAGAATAAAGTTGTATATCTAATGAAGAAAAGCAATCAGACTTGCTTATTTTGGTGTATTTGTTACATAGCGAGAAAATATAATGTTTAGTTTTGTTTAAAAAACTCTGCTCTTTATGGTAGCAGGAGTTGGTAAAGCTTCTTTTGCTGCTGAACAGATGTGAGCTGAGGACACAGTTACTTGGTTTGCTCTCAGGTTAAGTTTCAGGTAGAATGTAGCTGATAGCTGTGCTTGACTGGCTGATAAAGACATTTTGGGATGTGACATCACCACTGGAAACCTCCAGCTTAATATTCTACGTTATGAGGTGTTTTGTGACATTTAAGTATTTCAAGATACCATCACTAAAGTTATAGTTGCATGAAACTTTGTGTTACAAGTTGTGGATGCAGTAACAGATCTTCAGAATGGTGCCAACAGGTATTTGAAGTGTTGAAATACAGGAAAACAATTATGGAATTGTAGAAACATAGCTGAGACAGGTTAAAAATCAGAAACTTCTGACACTTCGTTGGTTAATTATAATGTAATGGAAGTTGTCAACTTATTTTCTTAAACTTGGCTTAGACAAAATGAGGTGATAGATGTATAAAAGATATAAGCATCCTTGAACAGAAAATTAATTCCTCTCACGCTCTAGCAAAAATGGATTCTCTTCAGTCTGGATGTTATGAGCTGATTTCAGTGGAATAGTTTCCCAGGTTTTATACTTGTCCTAAAGCAGTATCTTTGATTCTTAGGAAGTTAGTGTGGATATACTGCTTATACCCACTTCAAAGTCAGAATATGTATTAAATTCTTCTGGTCGTTTCCTTTATCTGCAGTTGAGGAAGTGCCCCATAGCTGCATCTCCACGTATCCACAGCTGTGGTGTGTTTAGCTGCAAACAAAACATGTTTCTGCACTGTACATTGCAATTTCCCCTGCTTCAATCTGGATTTCTATATGCCTTTGTATGTGTGAATGATTGTAGTAGTGATACATTTGAAATGTAGTTGAAGCCTTATGCTGTGCCTCTTATTCCACAGGATCTCATAGAACCTTCCTTCTGAAAGCCTTGTCATGTTATATGATAATTTCATCATATACAGAGAGTACAGAAAATAACACTTTGCACAATTCTTCTGTGGTGGGAACGAAGTATCTTCTGAGTAGCTGTAGCATCTGTAGAACAGAAAATGAAAAGCACTAAAACTGATAGTTATTCAAGTGAATTTTAGGTAGCAGAATGTTTTGGGAATGCTTGTGGTAATATCCTTTCTTTGCCTAAAATATTATACAGTGTTAGATAACTGCAGATGATCTCTCCTCTGGTATATTTTGAGATACATCATCTTCAGCTGGATTGTCACTTCTGCATCATCTAATTTGTCCTTGAAAGTCCTCTATTCATACAAATAATTAGACCTTGTCCTTTGTAACTTTAGAAATCCAGAAATATCACTGTCCAAGCTGGCACACTGGTTGTTTCTGGTGACATTAATCTATGCCCTGTGTGACTAATTTTGTACAGGATGCTGCAAAGGTATGGAACGTGCATATGGTTGCAGTGTTCTATGAGTCACGTGGGCATGTGACAGCTCAAGGGTCTAAAAACTTGCAGATGTGTAAATGGTGTAGAATGTACCCAAAATTACCTGAGAACCGAAAAAAAATAGCTGAAGACTAGTTCATGCAGTTTACAAAGTTAACTGTTTAGTGCTTTCTAGTGCAGGAAAACCAGTGGAGACTGTGAGTCTTAAATTCTGATGTGCATTTAAATGGTGGATTAAATCTCTCCCTGTGTTCCTGCTTCCGTGGCAGAAGTGGCTGTTCAGGATGTGAATTGGCTCTTTCTCCATCCTACTCTACAGTTTGCTTTATTAATCCAATTCAGCACTGGCTTGCTTCATTGTACCAAATTGTGAACTGCTGCAACTTAGAACAGATTTGCATGGTGTTCAACTTCTTGTCTCAGGACTAACTTCTTCAGTTGTCCCAGGTTTAGCCATCACTAAATATCTCAGTATTTAGCTTGCACAGCCCCATAAAATTCTGAGTTTAGGGAACCCAATAGCTTCTATAGTGATACTTCTTTCTTGAAGATGTGTTTACTGACTTTTGTTGGATTCCATGTCTTGCACTCGATGCCTTCACTTGCCACAAAAATTTATTTTCAGTCTTGAGTGTAAATTGGCATTTGATATCTGAATAAGAACTAAACCTCTTTATTAATGATTTTGTGCAATGAGTAAGATACTGTGCTTGCATAAATGTTAATCAAACGCTGTAAACTGCTGTTTGCTTATATATTATTATGAATATTATTATTTGAAAAAATGCAAATTTGTTTTGAAACCAAACCTGTTTTTCTTGCCTACATTTCAGTCAGAACTAAGACATGGTCCGTTTTACTATATGAAGCAGCCACTCACCACAGACCCTGTTGATGTTGTACCACAGGATGGACGGAATGATTTCTATTGCTGGGTTTGTCATCGGGAAGGCCAAGTCCTCTGCTGTGAACTCTGTCCTCGGGTTTATCATGCTAAGTGTCTGAAACTGACAGCGGAACCAGAGGGGGATTGGTTTTGCCCAGAATGTGAGGTTAGTTGGATATAAGGAGTGGATTTCTTGTTTGTGAGATATAAGCAGCTTTTTTGCATTCTGAAATGTCTCTGACTTATTCCTACATTGCTTCTTGGTAAAGATGCTAGATAAGTTTGTACAGAAGAGGAGGCATCTGTTGCTGCTACACCACTTTTTCTCTGTGTGTACCTGGATTGTGTTTGCCTTCTTACCACAGGTCCTCAACTTCCTTTGTGTTTCCATATCTAGAGAAAGCACCATTTCAAAGAGTGATAACTTCATCAGGCACCTGTAATTCTGAAAACATTCTGCAGTTTTGACTAGTTTAACTTGTGCTTCTTTTAGTGGGCTGATCAGCTCTGCAGCAGTGCAGAAAAAAAATTGCACTGTAGGGTCTACATAAACAAGTGGGTATTTTATTACTATTTTTTTCTGCAGGGCTGAGGAAGAATTTAATCTTTTCTCTCCAATGATTCTTGGGGAGAGAATACTTAGCATCAAAGTATCATTAATGAAAGCAAAGTGGTTTATTGCATGTTTTCCTTTGATCACTGATTGTATTAGAGCCCAGGTGACCTTCTCACTTTGCTACTATTTTTTTCTGCAGGGCTGAGGAAGAATTTAATCTTTTCTCTCCAATGATTCTTGGGGAGAGAATACTTAGCATCAAAGTATCATTAATGAAAGCAAAGTGGTTTATTGCATGTTTTCCTTTGATCACTGATTGTATTAGAGCCCAGGTGACCTTCTCACTTTTTCATGTTACTGTGAACCTGCATTGTATTTGGGAATTTTATGTATTCACACATTCACTTTGTGTGATCTTGAAGTTGATGGATAATTTCTGGTCTTTCCCCTTTTTTTTTCTTCTTTTTTTTTCTTTCTTTTTATTAATATAACCTGAACAAAACCCTGCATTGTATTTGGGAATTTTATGTATTCTCACATTCACTTTGTGTGATCTTGACGATGATGGATAATTTCTTGTCTTTTCCCTTTTTTTCCTTCTCTTTTTTCTTTCTTTTTAGTAATATAACCTGAACAAAATCCAAGTAAATGGGTCATCAGAAGTGTTTTATTTCTTGTAGGATAATTATTATCTTCCATTTCAATGCTAGAATATTTCAGTGGAGGAGAATTCACTGAGAAATGTTTGCTAACAAAATATTTTTTTAATCTTAACTTTTAGAAAATCACAGTCGCAGAATGCATAGAAACACAGAGTAAAGCTATGACAATGCTCACCATTGAACAGCTATCATATTTACTGAAGTTTGCACTACAGAAAATGAAACAGCCAGGGGTAAGGAGGATCATTTTTTTTTTTTTTTTTATTGCTTGGATCATATGTTTGTCATAATCCTGAGTATTGCTTCCTTTTGTGGATTAGGAACCTGGCTCATTTTATCAGATGGTGTGTGACAGCTTCCATGCTGTCTGCCACCTGTCTGGTACAGACATATCAGTTTAGGCTGTATATACTGTTTTGGAGTGCATTTAAAATGTAGTTCCCTGGTGTAACTTGTGGACGTACTTTCAGTAGGTGTAGTGAAAATATAACGTGGGTTTCCAGTGGGATGTGGTGATTCCTCACTCACAGAAAGCAGACAGTGATGTCTCTGAGGTACCAGGGGAATGAGGAGGCATGATCTCCTACCAATACAGTTCTATGGGCAGGAACGCTGGGTGCAGACACTGTTATGTTATTGATTATACCTTTTGAAAACCTGGCTTCTATCTGTTAGTAGAAATTGTTCTTACCACAAAAGTTAGTTGTATCATGTACTTCTAAAACACTGAAGAAACTTCCCTCAGTGTGGTGAAAACTGTGCCATTAACGTTCACACAATATGAGGCTGCTGCTCTATGAATTTGTATCATGGAAGTAAAATTGGTTTTCCTCCAACATGTGCCTATCTCCATGTGTCTGTCTTAGATTCACGTCTCAGAATGCCACAAACTTTCACCTATTCCGGTCACTCATTCTTGCTTGTAACTTTCAACAATTCTGGTCAGTTATTCTTCACCATGCAAGCATTACCTAGTTTTCACATGTGTGAAGAAAACAGTAAATCATAATATGATGTCCTAAATTACCAAGGGGTGCCTTGATGGCACCTCTTCCTGTACAGGAGTTAGAGCAGGGAAAGTGTCTCTGTGCCTGCATTGTTACAGTAAAATATGTTGGGAAAAACAGATGTGCAGAATCATGAGCTTTCTGCAACTCTGATCTCTCTGTGATAAGTATTTTAGCAGAACAATAGTGACAATTTCTGGGAAGGTTATTCTTAAGTACTGACCGATTTTGGCTCTTGGAATCGTTTTACTCTGGAGTGGGAAATACTGTCCTATTATAGATGGAGCCATTACAAGATTTAAGTGCTGCTTTTCAGAAGCAAAGTGTCAGTGTTTGTTTACATTGAATTCACAAAGTGTTTTGAAAATGTACTTAGAAAGCTAATGTTTAATGAATACTATTGAGATATTTTGCCCTTCAGGCATTTTACTGATAACCTGTTGTTTTGGTACCTGAGGACTTTAATTGTTTGTGTTCAAAGAATTACAGTCCCTCTGCATTAGCAGGTACAATGTAGAGTCCCACTGACAAAAGTTTGAATGTGTTTGCGTTACCAAGCCACCATTGTTTTGAAGGTTATGATTCTGATGAGAGTCTGAAAAAGAAGTATTTTTATGAGTCTAGTGAATTGGAAATTTGGTGTCTTTATTCTGCTAAAAGCTATACACCGAGCCTTATCTGATACTCTCCTCCAAAAAACCCTGCTGTAAATAATAACAATACATTTTACAAACCCCCTAACTTTGGCAATTTATTACTTCCACCATATGAAAAATCAGTTATATGAGACCTTTGAATTCCTTTTGTTCTACCTGTATTTTTATTACTGCATGAAATTTTATAATTACTTTTAAAGAATTTTCTCTGACATCACAGTTGGAAATAGCATTAGAAAGAGTCTTGTGTCATTGATGAAACTGGTCAGTGTTAATAAGCAGCATGGTTTTTTGTTTGTTTTTTTTTTTCCTAACAGACAGAGCCATTTCAAAAGCCAGTTTCACTGGATCAACACCCAGATTATGCAGAATATATCTTTCATCCAATGGACCTTTGTACATTAGAGAAGGTTTGTATGAAGCTAAGAGAGGAAGCTCCCTTGAGTTTAATTGCTATCATCAAGATTTCTGGAGTGGGGAAGGGGAGAAATACTGTAATCTTCACTGCCCCTGAGGAATAGATATAGAAATATAGATATAGACATAGAAATAGAAAGAAATAGTCAAGAGATGGAGAATGGGACTTTCATTCGCAGTTTAATAATAATGTAAAAGTTTAAAATCATGAAGAAATTCTCCATTCTCCGCTGCTTAACAAAGACTGAAGTGTTGCAGAGCTTTGTTGTGCTGGGACCTGGAGAAGAGACAGGAAATTTTCATTCTCCATGTGCTTACAGTGCAGGTTGATGTCTTTATGGTATAAAGGTGTAACATTCACGTGACTGATTTTACTTAATTGAATGACTTTACCCAGTGGCTGGACTCAAAAGTCAAACAGCACCAATACTTTTTTCTGGGTCTTGTATAACTTTAGAAATAAAGATGCAGTGGAGTGATAATATGTCAGTAGAAGAAATCAAGGGCTCAGCTTTTTGAAGAGACATCGAATTGAACACTCCTTCAAGAAATGAATACTTTTTTTGGAAATGTTGAAGATGCTGATCTAAGTAATTCAACATTTAGAGTTTATTTAGGCAGTTAATACATTTTCAGGGCAGTCAAAAGACATCCTGAATTTGACAGATTCTCAAGTATTTAGAATAATATTTTTTTCAGTAAATACAGTCAGTTTTATTGATTGAAAACAATGTTCAGAAGTTGTGACTTTTTACTCATTTTTGTTTCCTGATACATTCTTAATTTTTTTCTTTACAGAATGTTAAAAAGAAAATGTACGGTTGCACTGAAGCATTTTTGGCTGATGCCAAATGGATTTTGCACAACTGCATTATTTACAATGGGGGTGAGCATTATGTCCTAAAATATGACACTTTGAAATAGTCAAGGTCATTGAGCAATGTGTAGACTTCTAGTTGGCGAACACTGAAACTATCTTACTGTTAATGACCATACTGCCTAAACACAGAGATTTTTCTTTTATTTTAGCAACCGTCATACATAAAACTAGGATCAAATCCAACCCATGTTCGTTCCACCTTAAAAAAAATAAATAAATTCAAATAAGTTAGAATCATAGTATAGGTTGGGTTGGAAGGGACCTTAAAGATTATCTGGTTCCAACCCGCATCATCTGGTTCAAAGCCCGGAGCTGCTTTTAGCATTTTGCAGTGCTTTCTAGGACCTGATTGAGGAGATGGTACAGTCCCTCACTGAAAGAGCGTACCAGAGGTGGGCAGCTGCAATAGCTTCAAAATGGAACATGTAGAGATTGTTACTCTGCTATGTTGAGGAGAAAATGGCCCACTTTTGGCTTTTGCAAGCGCGTAGTTTATACATACCTGTTTTACATCGTCTCTTTAGATGTTCTCTTTTGTATTTAATGCTAACTTTTAGATGTACAAACTATTGATTTTATCGTAATTCTAGCATAACAATTTTCTTGGTTAAAGCATTCTATTGTTTTCTTAGGAAATCACAAATTGACACAAACAGCAAAAGTCATCATCAAAATCTGTGAGCATGAGGTATTTGTTCCCCAATTTATTTTTAAAGTGTTCCGTTTATGTATTCATGAGTGAAATAATATGTTTCCTAATGTGTGTATTGCATAACTACATTTTTTGTAGGCTTTTTTGTGTTTAGATATGCGTATCCATGGCCTACAGGATGATTTTTGGCAAGGGTATTGCTAATCTTCCCCTAGGATATTCACTATCTATAATTAAGCTGTGGAGTGGGAAAGTGGATATAGGGATTCTGCATACAGGCACCTATCTTCTATACGGATATTTAGAGTTGGAAAAATAGACCCACATCTTCTGATTCACATAAATTCTGATAATTTCACAATTCTTAATAGAACAAAATACGTATATAACCTGAGCCTGATACTTTAACTAGTTTGTATAATGTGAGCATAAGGAATAAAATATTTTATTTTTGGTTCTGCATAAATAATGAAATTATATGCCCAGTTGAGGTTATATTTTTGCCACTGGAAGAAATGATGAGAAATAATTCTTTATCACTAGAATAAATACAACATGAGTCAAAGGATGTTTTTTTTTTTTTTTTTTTTGACTGGGGCAAATGACAGTAGCATAGAATTTGAAGAGTAAAATACGTCTGAATTCTTAACTGGAATGCATGTGTTACAGGGGTAGAACGAGATGGGTGTCACTCAAAACTGTTGATTTCAGAGCATGTAAATGTGTATTTATGACCACAAATTTGTGGGGAAATGATGCTAGCAAACTAGACAATCTAACGTAAAAATACTGATCACACCTCGGACTCTGTTTAAGCTCTCCAATAATTGTTTTTCTTTTCAGATGAATGAAATTGAAGTATGTCCGGAATGTTATTTAGCTGCTTGCCAAAAACGAGATAATTGGTTTTGTGAGCCTTGTGTAAGTTAAGGATTATGGTAGTCTAGCTAATATGTTAAACCAGCCCTTCGGGTTTGAGTGTTGCCTGCTATCCCCACGTTGTTTCCAACACGATTGTTACTGAGTCAAGGGAGCCTGCTGGAGTTTACCAAGCAGCTTGTGCTTGCTTATTGTGCTCTTTGTGGGGTGAGACTATCTCAAGATGTTTAGCTGTAAGGCTGTGTGCCTTCACAAAGGAATGGTTCTGTCAGAAATAACTGTGAAGGGGGTCAGCAACCAGGTATCACAGATATCAACTTCTCTGCCCTCAAATGAAAGATACCTGTGCTTGCGCCTGGGTCATCTGGGCTTGCATGGGGTGCTTGCACTCCGAGTAAGGTTTCTGCAATGTGGATGTCTCTTTCTGCAGGTGCGGATCTGAGAATTTAGACTTGATTTTTCTTTCATGACCTATTAATAGGTTGTTTTCTGGTTTTGTTCAATACTGCACCAAACTTGGGAAGACTCCTTAGGATTCTTAAGTAGAAGTGTGTAACTCCAAGTTAAGTTGGACTTAAGTGAAATTAGAGAATTTGAAAGATTGGTCCCTTATGCTTGGAGGGTAGAGAATTTGAAAGATTGGTCCCTTATGCTGTGCTACATATTTGGAGGAGACTAATAAATTAATAAAAAAGTGCAATTACAATGTGTTTATTGAGATAGTTAAGGTGGTATATTTTATTTTAATTATTCTGTTCTCTCAGGATTTATTATGTGTAGATCAAGCATATAGGTAAATGGAATCTTATATTTCACTAGTTCCTTGTGCATGTTGGGTCTTTACTGAATCTAAGTAATACATACAGTTAAAAAAAAATATACTGTCATTTATCAGATTTGGAAAGTAATACTGTTTGTGTCTTACCGTGTATTTTGCCTCCTCCTCTAGAGCAATCCCCACCCTTTGGTCTGGGCTAAACTCAAGGGCTTTCCATTCTGGCCTGCTAAAGCACTGAGGGATAAAGATGGGCAAGTTGATGCCCGTTTCTTTGGCCAACACGACAGGTGGGAATTTAACCAAAGGATGTCTTTGGCTGTACTTGAAAAATTCTTGTTGTAATTTTGTGCTCTGAGTTTTTGAATCCTGTCTTTTGAACCTTTGTCCTAATAAACTCTATAATATTGTAGCATATGCAGTTCTAGTTTCCTACATGATGTCTGTAGAATCTGAGTTGTGTTTGTAAGATTAATACATATATAATCTCAGTGAATATGCAAGTTAATTCCTGTGTCTGGTTTTGTGCTACAGAGAACTGTAGTTCTTAAGGGTGGAAGAGGTCAATAAAGTTATCTATGTGGTCGAAACACTACGGGAATAAACACACAATTGTAGATTTAAAAAATATAGAAAATACGATCTGTGTTGAAGATGCCAGTTTTGCTCTGAAAGGAGTTAAGTTTTCTGTACTTGTGAACCCTCTGCTTAGATGGAGAAAGCCATGGTGAATGCAAATTGATTTATCATTAATTGAAAATATAAACCTATACAGTTATAAAAACATGTACTGTAAAAAAAAAAGTATAGGGCCATGAAATAATTAAGTCAAAGTTTCTGGTATTTTAGTACCTTGGAAGGCATGGTTTATAGAGTCTGCCTCATTTCATGATAAGTGGAATCTGTCCAATACTTGTTGATAGAACTTTTCCTGGCATTGAGGAGTCTGGTCATCCTGATGTGGGGTGTAAAATAGAATATTAAGCTTTTAAGAATGTGTTTGTGAAGTCTTTTTTTCCTCAGCTGCTTTTTGTGTTTTTCTGCTAACTATGACAGATGGAAAGACTGTTCAGCATTGGTTGTCTTAGAGTTACATAGACTGTTCCAATTAGGAATATGTTGTCGTATTTGACCAGTCTTTATTCATGTTTTACATATTACTGGGTAGAATAAAAGAAGGTAGTGATAATCTAAGATGTTCAGTTTACTTACCGACTAGTAAAAGAAGGAGGTAGAGATGGTCCTTTGAGGTGATCTGAGGTGTGCGTATCTTCGATTAACCTAGAATAAATTAGTGTGTGCACAAAAGTTGCCAATGCCAGTCCACAGTGTGAAATGTAGTTACGTTATATTCTATTTTTCTGTTTTACATATAGGGCCTGGGTTCCAATAAATAATTGCTACCTCATGTCTAAAGAAATTCCTTTTTCTGTGAAAAAGACTAAAAGCATCTTCAATAGTGCAATGCAAGAAATGGAGGTTTATGTTGATAACATTCGTAGAAAATTTGGAGTATTTAATTACGCACCTTTCCGGACACCATATACTCCCAACAATCAATACCAAATGTTATTAGACCCTGCAAACCCAACTGCTGGAACTGCAAAGACAGACAAACAAGAGAAAATCAAACTGAACTTTGATATGACGGCATCGCCCAAGATTCTAATGAGCAAGTCTATGCTGAGCAGCAGCACTGGTCGTAGGATTTCATTGACAGATATGCCACGCTCACCAATGAGTACCAACTCATCAGTTCACACTGGATCTGATGTTGAACAGGACGCGGAGAAAAAAGCCACTTCCAGTCATTTTAGTGCCAGTGAGGAATCCATGGACTTTATTGAGAAAAATACAGGTAAAAAAAAAATAAATAGAGGGGGGTACAGGGCTTTACATTTGGTTAATGCACTGTTTTTATTACACATACTTTTTAAAGACAGGCTGTATTATGACTCATTTTATGAAGAGGTTTTAGAAAAAAAGGTGGATTTAACTTGCAGTATTGCAGATAAGAAATAACAGTCCTTTCTATCTCATGGAGAAAGAATAAATAACCTTGAAAAATGACCACAGCCCTTTGCTTTAGATAGCTGGAAATATTTGTAACTATGAAAATTAATGGAGAATAGTGGAAGTAAATACAAAAAGAGTCAAAATTATCATGATTAGGAGGTATTGTATTTAAAATTTGATAGCTCTTTTTCAAGGCAATGAGCTTAATTTGTAAGTGTTCCCAACTGAGTAGCTGGCATATGATAAAGCTACAGTTCCATAGGCAGAGTGGATAAAGAGAAAAAGGAGTGTAGAATACACAATTTGGACTCCTCATACTTATATATAGTCAAAGAACAAATTGCTAACTGATTTTATGGCACTCAAGCAAACTACTTTATCTTAGGTTTTTTTAATCCATAAAGAAAGTTCATCACTATCTGAAAAAAGGGATGCAGTATATTAATTAATGTGAGTGCTTAAACCTTTGGATTTCTTTGTGTAGAAAAATAAATCAGTATGTTCCATTGCAGTTTTTAGATAAAATGCAGTTATTTATTTATTTAGTATGATCTTATTCTTTCTAGCCAATAAAGGCTGGGCTGTGAAGCTACCTTTGGGTACAAAATGTCTTGTGATATGGTCCTGAGCATCTTAAGAATTGATGACAAAGTAACTGTATGAGTTTAAATATATGAAAATATTTGGATTTTTCAGCAAAGTAGTATGTCAAAAGGAATAATTAATTTTATACATAAATTATCATGTATATATGTATGTACAGCTTTTATATATAAGGTGTAGCTAACAGGTACTGTTTTTTGTCAAAATATAGGGCTTTTATTATACCACATTATTATTTCTTTATGGTAGTGGAGGTAATAATGGAAAACTACATTAAAGCTATTTTGTCAGATAAAGATAAAAGAAGGTGACAGATGTTATCGTATTATTGGTGATTCTTGATTATCATAGCAATTCTGGGGAATTTTTCTAACTTTTCCTCAGGCCTGACTATCATCTATCCTAGTGCACAGAAATGCTGGATTGGATTTAACATAAGTTAAACTAAAATATTCAGTTTCCCACCTGGCATTTCTACCTGTATATTGTTACAAATGCTAACTTTTGTAATATTCCTATTGTAATAGTCCTGTTACTGGAATCTGCATGTTTCAATCAAATGTAAATGAAGTTACTTGTTTGCTGTAAAAAAATATTTCAAGTAGTATGACTGCACTATCTTTAGACAAGAATGATTTTATTTGGCTGCCTCTGTTGTGTATTTTGAGTGATGTGTAGAAACTAACTTGGAACCAGTTATTGAAACAGCAGATACTGCTACTGTTTAGGAATCTGAAAATATATAGACAATCCTGGATGTACTGGGGAAGAAAAAGTGTCCAGTAGTGGGTTTAGGATGACATTTTCAGAGCATTAAGGAGGGATTTAACAAACAGAAATTAGTCTCTTGCTGACAGAAATTAGTCCTTTTTATTTAAGTAATGGCCTCCAGATGCTTCCCTTTCTACACCGTTTGGCTCTTTCCAGAAGTGTGTTTTTAAAACATTATTTCACGGAGATTTTAAAGGCTCTGAGCATAGGATTTTGCTTAAACTCTGTATTACATTATAATATTCTGTTACCTTATTGGAGATATTGGTCACTGATCTTTAGCTGTTCTGATTAAACTTACTATGATTTGTACTTTTAATTCTCTGTTAATGTAGCTAGAAAATGGGGTAGGTGGGTTTTCTATGTTTACTTACATACATGAATTAAAATAGATAGCAATTTAGAGTGTCAGAATTTGTTAACATCTAAAATAACCAAATCTTGAAAGCTAGAGTCTGTCACTGCGATCAGAGTGGTTTTGAGGGTAAGCACACATTTGGCCCAACTATATAGCTGCAATAAGAATCTTTTCCATACAATTTCTTTCTTTATTAAACTAAAATTAAAGGGATAATTGTAACTTAGAATGGAGATATAGCACAGCATTGAAATTATTAAACAAAAATCCTTTCCCTGCTTGTGTACATTTAAAAGCTGTTTTGTCCCAGTGAATATGGCTTTAATAGTGATTATTTTTAAATCTGTCTTTATTAATTTTGTACTTTTTCAGCTTCTCCAGCACCAACAAGAACGGGTCAAGCAGGGAGTTTGTCAGGCAGCCCCAAACCTTTCTCTCCTCAAGCATCAACGCCAATTTCTGCTAAGCAAGAGAGAACTTCCACTCCAGGAAGCATTCTGAATCTTAATCTTGGTTAGTCTTCACCTTTGAAAATCTAATACTGTTACAGCTCAAAAAATTACAGTGGTGTCAATGCAAGATAATATGAGAAAACTTGCTTGTATGTGGCTTTGAATGAACAAAGGGCTTTAAATGGGACACACGTGTAATTATTGTTTCATCAAATAGGCTGGTTTTTTTTTTTTATAAATGAGTGTTCCTGTTATTGTTTTTTCTTGTTGACGAAAGGAAGTAGTTAAAGCATGATTTATTTTTTTTTTTAGCTGAATTGTACAAATTAATGTTTCTAAACAGTAGGTAAGTTTCTGAAGGTTGTACTTACATGAACATTGCTGCTCTTCACCCCTCAGTCTCTCAAGTGAATTGCTGGCAAGGTTTTCTTGTGGTATTTGGGATTTACTAGGGCTTCTCTCTTGCTGACTTCACATCACCTCCTCACTGACCATCCCTCTCTAGGGAGATAGATGGATGAAAGGAATTAGCAGATGTCTTGAAACTCCCTAGAAGTAAAATTTGGGATTCTGGAATTTTGAAAGATGAAGTGGGTAAGTACTAAATTGGTAAAATAGTTCTGAAAGCCAAACGGCTGTAAATCAGTTTCCTCAGTCATACTTTGTTCCTGTGAGTATTCTGATCCAGTCCTGGCTACCTTTTACCTCAACATGATTTTACATGGAGAACCAGGGTTCTGCCCCTTGTTGTTACCAAATACTTCAGGAAGGCTTGAGCTAAAATGCTGAACTCATATTTTCAGTGAGTTACAGATATTCTGATTCTGGATAGGAGCCTCAAAAGTCTTTTTTTCAGTGTGTTAATTATCTGTGTGGACATAACCACAGAAAGAATTCCTTGTGCTGCACTCCAGCTGTTTGTTGTCTTATCTGAGGTGACAATGCATTTGGAAAATTGTTAAGAAAGACATAGTGCTGCAGTAGCTTCAGCCCACAGATGGTTGACATCAGATGGAGCATAGAATATTTTGAATAAATGACATGGATCAGAAAACGCGATCTTCTGGTCCATGAGCAATACCATAAAAAAAGGGCTAGTGTGCTTTCAAGTAGAGTATCAGCTATTTTTTCAGCTTTCAAGGAGTTTCCTTTGCTAAATATACTCTTTGGAATGAAAATGGCTACCTTGCTTCGTTTAATAGTGTCAGCTGTGCCAGACTTAGATTAATCTGTAAATCCTGCGGTTTTCAGATCTGATTATTGTGTCTCATTGTAACGCACAGTGTGAACAGGGTTTCTCTCTGGAAAAACAAAAGTGAAAGTCTAGAAAACAAAGACACTTACGTACTTTGAGCAGAGTAGTAGGAGGGCTCTATGGTTGTCCTCTAATTCAGCAATACGGAAGGAAAATTAATGGAATGAGCCATGTGTTGTTACTGACAGAGTGGCTAAATTGTAAAATGGGAGGTGTGAATGATCAAGCAATACACAGATTGCTGGAAAAAATACGTATTCCAGATAGTACAGGACCTGTCCTTGTGTAACAGAGGCAGAAAAGATACAGCAACAAATTTGACCCAGTGAGGAGTGAAAATTTTCAGAAAAAGCAAGGCTTTACAGATGAGCACTTGAAGATTTCTTCACAGTTGGCCTGTCTGTCCTTTGGCTCTGTTTTCTTCTTACTAATGTTTTGACATTAATGAGGCAGATCATCTCAGTGAGACGTCCATGAAGGTTACATAGGGGTTACATAGAGATTGTGAGACTTTTTTCATATATTTAGATATAGTGTTCCCTGGGGAGGTCTTACAGTGTCTTGTTTTCATCTTTCCCCATTCTCCATTTTTCCTTCTGCTTCTATCCTGTCATGTTGTTAACCAAGTCTGTGAAGGCCTTGAATCAAATTCTGTACTAAGGGTGATGTAACCATTACTGCTGTGGAATTAGCGTGGATTCAGTGACATAGTTAGCACAGGAAGAAGAAACCTAATTTAATAAACTTTTCCAATACAAGGAAAAAATTTTTCAAAAGTACTTAAGTGACTTAGAACCTTCATTTTTATTTTCAAAATTTACACTGCACTGAAAATGATAGTTTGTGTTATGTTTAGTCTCTTCCAGTATGAGTATGTGACATGAAGAGCGTGAGATTCAGTATTAAACATTTCACTGGGACTAGAAAGGGTGATTGAGTATTATTTAGACTGAATTTATGTATGCTATAATGCATATATATTACAAACCAGGATGATTTGAACTATAGCCTGTATATTTGGTGATACAACAATAGCCTGTATATTCCATCACACAAGTTGCTGCCTCTCTCTCTAGGTAGAGATGAGGAATGGTTATTTTAGCAGTAAAAAAACCTGCATGAATACTCAAATGGTTCCTTCTGTACTTGCTCTCTGTATTGTAGATTCTATTTGCAGTCTGATAGGAGATAGTGGCCATGCCTGATTGAGACAACTCTGCTGCTGAAGTTGAGTCATTATGTGCTGTGGCTCTTACATTTTAAATGTGGAATGTACCTGGAAACTAAGTGCAAACTTGTAAAGAATGTCTGCTCAGAGGAATCATTGGCTCAGCCCTTCATATTTATTTCTATTTATTTCACTTGTCTCTGAGTTGTGCATCAAGAAAAAATGTCTTGTAAAGATATATGGGGTTTTTTTTTTTGTTCTTTGTTCCCCCCGCCCCTGCCTTTTTTCAATAAACAAGGGCAATACTGTGGCATCTTTAACTGTTGTGGAATGAAACTCTAAATGAAGCACAAATGCACATTGTGCCAGTGTTGCCTTTTGTCTTCATGGCCTCTGTCCTTTCCCAGTCCCTTTGGTCCTACCATGAGCCTGTTCAAGGAGCTAAACTGGCCAAAAGTAATTCTTCTCTCCAGTCCTTCCCCCTTCTTCATGTCCCCTTCCTTCTCCGCAAAACAGCCAGCTCACTCCAGACTGGTTTAGTGCCCCGAGCCAAAATGTGAAACTTAGTTGCCAAGAGAGTTTTAGCTTTAGTGCTGTAGTCTGTACTCTTTGCAGGCAGATCTGGATGTTTCAGAGTAAAAAATTCTTTGTGTGTATAGGGGATCTCAAGAGAAGATTTTGCTGACATATATTGAAAAAACTATTACTTTATCGTAAATTTCTTAATCTGTCTAGTGTACTAACCCACATTTATATTTCTATTCTCATGACTTACATTTTGAATTTTAAATGGTGACTATAAGGATTTGTAGTCCTATTAATTTTTTTCTGTGAAAATATTACTACTAGTAGAAAATAACAGCAGTAGCTTACTCAAAGTGCTGTCAGACAGCTTACAGACCTCAATGATGGTTTCTTGATAATTTCATGTAATTGATGTGTGCGTTCTGCCAGTGAAATATGTAGCATCAGAGAAGAAGAACCTATTGTTTGTAGTAGAGTCATGTTATAATTATTATTTGGCCCATAACTATAAAAGTAGTGAAATATGTTTCAGATTGTCTGCATTGTTACTCAGTAAAATTTGTATTATCTGGACAGTGATCTCCTTTCTTTTTGTAAAATATTTTCCTTACCTCTTTTTTTCTTTTTCTAGATCGTAGTAAAGCTGAGATGGATCTGAAGGAGCTGAGTGAGTCAGTCCAACAGCAGAGCACTCCCGTGCAACTCATTTCACCAAAACGACAGATACGTAGTAGGTTCCAGCTTAATCTCGACAAGACAATAGAGAGTTGCAAAGCACAACTTGGTGAGTGTATCTCAAGAATACACTGGGCATCTGAAGGAGACACTTGAGAAAATTTTGAATTGGAGTTTAAAAGAAGCTTTTGAATAGTAAAACCTTAAATATTTTATGCATTAAACCAAGAGTAGGGCATATTTGAGCTTTTTGAGGCAAGTAGAGTGTACTGAACTAGTTTAATTTAAAACATAGTGAGACTGATGTTTCAATTTTTTGTTAGAAAGCTTTCATCTTTTAATCTGTTTTTGTACCATTCTGGTGTAGATAGTCTGACAGAATTACAGTCTTACTATTTGCTTTGTAAATTGAAAAATTCAAGAACTGTGCCTAACTTATGTCAGTTGCACAAATTAGTGCCAGTTGCACAAATTAGTGCCAGTCACAGAGGAGCTGGATGCTGTTAGAAATATTAGTGTTGTCTAGCACTTAATTAAGACTAAGTGCTAAAAAGCCTAGAGGTTCTCCTCGCAAAATGTACGTGATCTAAAATTGATTCTGCAAACATGCATGCAATTGACTTTAATCAGGTGAATAGTGTTACTGATTTTAAGGTGGCTTCTCGTGGATAAAAATAATTCCTCTTTTTATTTGCCGGCATTGGTCCTAAGGTAGTGGAAATAGCAGTGAAAGGAGGGCTACTGAATGAAATAAAAATATGAATTGGAATACGTGAAAGGTAATTCTTAGACATTCTGGTATTGAGATAAGGCACTAAGGGAAGTGTTTATAGGCTTAAGATAATAGTATGTATACACTTTATTCCAGTATATAGAGTATTTTTTTGGTAATGTCAGTCAGTCTGATGTCAGCATGGAATGTACTTTCCTCCCCACAATTAGGAATAAATGAAATATCTGAAGCTGTTTATACTGCAGTAGAACACAGTGACTCTGAAGATTCTGAAAAATCCGACACCAGTGACAGTGAATATAGTGATGAGGATCAGAAATCAAAGAATGACCAAGAAGATGGAGAGGACAAGGAAGGTACAAGAAGTGACAAAGAATCATTGAGCTTGAAAAAAAAACCTAAGCCTCCAGCACAGAGTGAAGACAAGGAGGAACTTAAAAGCACAAGTCCAGAAGTGGAGAAAACAGATGATCCAGTCAAAGAAAAGGCAATTACAGACACTGAAAAAGAATTTTCTGAAAAGGGAAAAAGTTTACAGCATCCTGCAAAAGAAAAACTGAAAGGTAAAGATGAAACAGACTCTCCAACTGTGCACCTAGGACTGGACTCTGATTCTGAGAGTGAACTTGTCATCGATCTAGGAGATGATCATTGTGGCCGTGAAGGAAGGAAATCCAAGAAGGAATCTAAAGAACCTCCTCCTAAACATGACGGTAGGATGAAATTCTTCCCTTCCTATTTCTCTTCTGTACTATAAGCGCTATTATCAAAACCAGAGCTGTTAGACTTATTTTTGCATTAAGATGTTAAAAGTGTCTGTACTAAAACAATATTTTGAATGATTTTTCATTCTTTTTGACTGTAGTACAATTTTTCAGCCCCATTGTAGTTTCTGGTTTAAATATAATATGTTTCATTGAGTTTTCTTTTAGCAACATATAACTATGAATATCCGTGATATTTGTTCTGTCTCAAATTTAGCATCTATTTTACAATATTTACATTGCCATAGATCTCCTAAAATAGCAGGTATAGAAGAAGTTGGACTTTACCATACAAATTGCATAACATGCCATTGAAATCAATGCAAATGCTCTCAATAATAATAAAAGAACCAGCTAAATCACATGATTTGTCCTTGAGATTGCTTTCCCCTTTAACAGCACATGGAAACACTGTCTCAATTCATGAGTAAAGTGCTTTTGCTAAGCTGGTTTTTCATGTTAGCCTTTTGACAAAACAAAATAGAAAACCAGATTTAAATTATTATATTGAAAAATGTTTTATTCTTCATATAACTTTCTCTTCTTGCCTGTATTCTGTAGCATGTTGACTCAGTCATCTTATTTAAAACAATGTTATCAATCAATTTACTAAGCTTACTTCAGAAGACAACTTAATGCTCCTGAATTTTGAATCTTAAAATGGCATTTAATGGATAAATATTATTATGAGATAATAAATAATATAGGCTTATAAACTGTAACCAGAATTGTAATTTTTCGGGTGGTTTATACTCACTGCTTCTTATTTTATTTAAAAATTTATTAAGCAATGAAGCTTTATGAATTTCAAAACCACTAGTGTTACTAGTGGCCTAATCCAGTGATGGTTGAAATAATAGGTAATCCTAAAATTTTACTTTGCTATAGAGGCAAGAGAACAATACATATTCTGCGTAAAATTAAAAGTGGATTTAAATATTCATATATGTAGACCTATACTAGTAAATTCTAGACATAATTTGTGTCCTGTCCATGATTCCAAGGCTCCTACCTTTACTTGTGGTTATCAGATCTCTCCAGAAGAGAGATCTGATATGTGCAAGTCTGAAGGTTTTTGTCCTCTTTCCAGAAACCTGTCCATGCAGGAGCCTTCTCTTTCAGCCACATTTTTCCTGGCGAGGTCCTAAATCGATCTGATATATGGAATGGTCAAGTATAAACTCTGGAAGTTTTTTGAGTAAACGTAGATATCAAATACACTGTATAATTGATTGTCAGTGCCAGTTGACCTTTCTTTAGAAAGTTTTTAGTATCCTATTCCTTCACTTACTGTTCAGTCATTGTTCCTTTTCAATGTATTTTTCGACTGAAAAAAATGGGGATGAGAGGTGTAAGTGCTTATCCAGAAACATCCTAAGAAATGCTGACCTTCATGACCTCCTTTGGAAGGTACAGCCTTGTTTTTGGCGTTTTGTACTTCCTGTTTTGTTTTGCTTAATGGCTAGTTCTGAATTGCCACCAACTTCAGGTAGACTGAAATGAGTTTACTTGTAGAATATCGAGATTAGTTTATTTGTAGGGCATCAATTACCTTTTCAGGAAAATAATTGAAGGTAGACTGGAAGGTGCAGTCCAACTTCCAAAAGTTGGATTAAAATGATGAATCAGATACGTTGGTGAAAAGCTGGCGTTACATTTTATGTTTGTTTAGTTTTAGGTAAAACTCCACCTTCCTCCAGTTCAAGCACCCAGCCTCTACCAGAAACTCCAGTCCTTACCCGCTCTGCATCTCAGACTCCCCCAGCTGGTGTCACAGCCACGACTAGTGCTTCTTCTACTGTTAGTGCTCCGTCTGCCGCCACTGGGAGCCCTGTCAAAAAGCAGAGGCCTCTGCTGCCCAAGGAAACTGCCCCCGCTGTGCAGCGCGTAGTGTGGAATTCTTCAAATAAATTTCAGACATCTTCTCAGAAATGGCACATGCAGAAGGTGCAGAGGCAGCAGCAACAGCAGCAGAGCCAGCAGTCTCAGTCACAGCAGCCTCAGTCCTCTCAAGGGACAAGATATCAGACAAGACAAGCAGTTAAAGGTATACACTTTCTAACTCAATGTGCCTGTGATGCCATAATTCCCCAGTAGTGATCTCAGTGCTCCAAGGCTGCCCAACCAGGAGTTCTTCCATATAAACAAAATCTCAAAGTGTGGTTCTACTCTGATAAGTGACTTTAAAATACAACAACATACTCACGATACCTGCTCTTTCTGGTGTGTATTTAGAGTCATGTCTCCTTATTTTAATGACAAAAAGTTTGTGTGTGTATCTGTATAAATATTTTTGCCATTCGTAGCTATCACAGATTTGGGAGTGTGAACTGAGTTATTTTCTGGATTATATAATGAAACCATTAACTCTATTCCACTAGCATGATTACCTCTACCACCCCAATATCTACAAGCTGGATCCAGTTTTATCTGACAAGAAGCTGATCTGTATGATTTTTCAGAGACTGTAATTTGATAACAGTGAAATTACCCAGGCTACATGTGTCTTTAGAATCCCCATTGCTTAACTCTGAACAAGACTGGTGCTGGTTTACTGAGCAAACAAACAGCCATGGCATTTTAGAAATTTTTCATAACTATTTCCTTACCAGCCCTTTGCCAGAGGTTTTACTAATAGTAGGCATGTGGTAATGTAAGTCCATGTTTTCTGTTGCTTCACTTCACAAAACAGCAACTTCACGCAAACGTAGTTTTATTTGTAATTTCAAGTTAATAAATTGAAGTCTTTCCTTTGAATAGATACTCTCCATTCTGCTAACAGTGCTGGCAAGGCAGGAATTGCAAACAGAAGAGAGGTTTAGGTAAAGCATCAGATATAAACGTTTACCAGAGGCATGTTTTTCTGGTCCCAAACTGCATTTCTGACTCTCATGTTAAAGAAGCATTGAAGAAGCAGTAGCTTTTTACTTGTAGACTGCAGGAATTTGATACAGAAATATTCAGTGAGAAAAATAAATGAAACTTCGTGAAGTCTTATTTTTAATAGAGTCATACTTTAATATGAGAGCTTAATAATATGGAACGAACGTTAAATGTTCTGCCTATGAGTTTGCTTTATCAATATGTTTCCTATTAAGTGCATCATAGCTGTGTTCCATCTTAAATATTATGAGCTAGACATATATAAAATGAAAACTATAAAATCTGTAGATTTCTTATATACTGAATTGACATAAACAAAAATATAGTACATACAGATAAACTGAATGACTTCTTTATTTCAGTAATTCCTGTTTTGAGGACAGTGGCAATGAAGACATCTTTTGTGATAATAATCATTAAAAATAGATTGAAAAGTATTTAAGGCAGACAAGTCATTAGGGATGAAAAGGTAGAAGTCTTTGCATTCAGATTTGTGCTCTCATTTTTTAACTACCCATTGTTTAAGATTATTTGAAATATTAACCAAAGGTGAGAAATCTTTTCTTATCCTGTTTGAGTTAACACTGTGAATAACTTTTTTGCTTTAATGAGTTAATCTGATGTTGCATTCCTTGCTCTGCAGCCAGCCAAAGGCTAATGTTGATCTGGATGTATGTATATTAAACATGTCACAACACTAGTAATAATTAGTAGCATTAATAACAGAAGAATGGGAATAATACCAGGAGGCATTACTAGAGTAGGCTTTCTTCAACAGTGGCTCACTAGACCTTGTTTCAAAGCAAAAAGTAAATATTCAATGTTCAATAATATCTTCAAATGCAATAATATTTCTCAAAATTATGGCAAATGAAAATGTTGAAGTCTAACTAACACTCATGTGTATGGTATTAATTGGGAGTTCCCAAAGTTGAAGGGTTAGGAAGTGAATTCCTAGGAAGTGGGGTGGAAAAGTCCCCAGATGGGAGGAATACAGATCTGAGGGGGACTTTTGCGTTGGCAAGTCTAAAATGCTAAGTTTCAAAGATATATTTGTTTTGTTACCTTTAAGCCTTAGTCATGTACAAGTTTAGTGGCTGGACACTGTATAATTAAGTGATTAAATGGCACCATTGTATAAATAATCTAAGTCTTGGGAATGGTTGGGTGCACACATTTCAGTTAGACATTAAAGTTAGATGTTTGCATGTTCATTTTCATAATTGTTTATGTGATTGATCCGCTGTATGTTCTCTTTTCTTAGCTGTGCAGCAAAAAGAGATCACCCAGAGCACTTCCACATCCACTATAACCTTGGTTACAAGTACTCAGCCAATTTCTATGGTTACCAGCTCTGGATCTGCGAGTACACTTTCTTCCTCACTTAATACAGACTTGCCCATTGCAACTGCTTCAGCTGATGTGGCTGCAGATATTGCTAAGTACACTAGCAAAGTAAGTTATGGAGCAAGGTTTTCTTGAAATCTTATTTTGAAATGAATTTTCAAATTTTTCACATTTCAAATTCTGAAATAACTTTATTTTGAGGTTGTCCTATGTTGCATATGCATTCTACCCAGTAGGGACTGCTAGACTTTGATGAGAGTGCTGAACAATCTCTTTAGAGCTGGCTTGATGCTGCTCCAAGCCAGAGTGTGTCTATGATGGGCTTCAGCTGCTCAGGCACCTTAGACTTTTTCTTTCTCTTGTTCCCCCATCACTGCTTCTTATTTACACTGTGTTTGTTTCCGACCATTTTCTGTGTTTTCTCCTAAAGGTGTAGATACCTCCTCAGCAAACATGAATATTTCTTCATCTGTGCCCAGTAACACATATACAAAGATGTACTTTGCTTTTAAAACACTATATAGCTTTATCAAATGGTAACTTGTCATAAGTGTATATTCGAGTATTAAAGCAGAAGATAAGTTATTAAAGAGAAGATGTGGTGTAATGTTTGTATCATAAAGTGACAGTGAGGAATGGGACATGAGCATTTCGTATACTTTCTTAGATCTTCATTTAAAAAGATCAAGGTGAATACTATATAAGGGAATAAAGCTGAGTACCCAGGCCTTTCAGTGTTCTCATTTAACCATATGGTCTTGGTGGGATTGTCAGTGCTCAGCAATGTCAGTAAATGCCTTTTTTTCCAATAAATTATATCAGTGGCAATATATTGGAAAAGGAGAAGGTGAAGCAGTTAACTCGTTCAGGACCCTTAAAAATCACAGTCCTTCTCAAACATGGTGTGTTGTACCTTCTAAGTAGTCCTCTAAAAGCAGACCCAGATAAATGAGTAGAGAATATGGGGCATTGTTGATAGTAATATAAATTCACATTAGAGTGGGTGAAAGGAAGTGAAAATTGATATCCATAAAAAATATACATCTCAAAGAATTTTTTTTTCCTTTTGTCTTTCAGATGATGGATGCCATCAAAGGAACAATGACTGAAATATATAATGATCTTTCAAAAAATACTACTGGCAGTACAATAGCTGAGGTCAGTGCAAGATAAAAAAATAAATAATGCTGCTCGTATTTTAATTTTGAAAGTTGAAAATACTATTTTTATATATAAAAGTACCATATATCTACAATTTATTAGATATCCAGACTGTCTAGAGATACTAATTTCTATGCTGTTTTAGAAGTAATGATTAAAGGGGAGCAGAAAAATGCTGAAAAAATAATGTGATGGGCTCTCTAAGATAAGCAGTAAGCCATCGAGCCCAGATCCTTAAAGCTTCTGTTGAGGATTGAATTTTCTGTCACCTTGTTTCAAATCAGAAATGAAGTAGTTTTTTTGAAAGTATCATTTTTTTAAAACCATGTATTTGTCCACCGGAGGAAGATTTATAATTAACTTGTAGGGCAGTTGCTTATTCCAGTCACGTGATTATGACTATATCTTTTAATACTTTTTAAAAACCTTGAATACTTTTTTGCATTTTTTTATTAAATGCTATATACATTGCTTTAATTGTCTCCAAAGGGTAGTACTTAGTATCTTTGGGGTGTTTTCGTTAAACTTGGAAAAAGCAGGTTAAGCAGTGTAAACTATGAATGTGAACAACAAAAGCTCAGAGTTAAAAGTGTGATGATTTGTTTGCTTGTCTTAAACAAAAATAAAGAAGTCAAAATTTTGAGCAACAATATTTGTATTCCTAATCCACAGTGAATGAAAAACTTGCTTTCCTAAGCCTCATCTCGTTAAAAAGAAAATAAAAGAAATGAAATGTCATACTAATAAATACAAACAAAGCTGAGAAATAGGTTTTTGTTTCTAGTCAGAGAAAGTGAGACTTGACTGATTTTAGATGAAGCAAGAACAAGTTTAATAGAAGTACTTTTTGTTTTCAAACAATCCTGTGCTTTTTATGGTAAGCAAGTCTAGGAAACAAATGTTTAGAATACTACAGGCTCTGATTTGGGGGTTACTATGGTCTTGTCCTCATATGAAGGAGCCTGGATGTAAGCGTTGATCGGGCTTTTTGCTCTGGACATATTTATCTGTGTAATAATTACATATTATATACTGTATCCTGTTTATTATCACTAACTGTTAAATTTTTAATACTTAGATTCGGCGTTTGAGGATCGAGATAGAAAAACTTCAATGGCTACATCAGCAGGAACTCTCAGAAATGAAGCATAATCTAGGTATGAAAGTGTCAGTCCAAAATAGTGTGTTACTTTTTTGTCCTAAGGAGAAAACCCAAATGCTTGTGGTCTGTACTCCAGAAAACCTTACACAATGTGCTGTGCTGGTGTCAGTGGACACCTCCTGAGTACGTACACTAAGTTACTTTGTCTCTGCATATTAAATTACAGGTGTTCAGCCCTCTGGGACAAATTTAGGCTAAAGTGAGTTTTTGATAGGACAGAATAACTCTTTGTTTTATGCATCATTGGATAATCCCTCTTCACAAAATACTTTATGCTGATTATTTCATACCAATTCTCATATAAACCAGGCTCTGTTAATAGAGTCACTGGGGGAACCTGCTTCCTCTGGCATCTTTGTAGATTGTAGCTGACATTTTGGTTCAGATGAGCTGTTGGTGTGTAGACTTATGTATTTATTTATTTACTTAAGGGAATAGACAACCTTGACCCAGTTCTGGTGCCAGACTGTCAGTTAAATAAAGTCAAAATACTAATTTAAACAGCTTAAAGAATATTCTTCCTAGGAGGGGGATTTTCATCTCTACATTCGCTCAGCCATATGGGCAGGAAATGAAACCATGATTAAAATGTGATTCCTCTTCAATTATCTTTTCTAATGCACTGACTGTGGGGAGAAGATTGCAGTTCTGTGATCAAGTCTCCTTTAAGACACAAGCCATCCAAACGGCCATAGAACTGTGTCATACACTGTCCTTGCCCGCTTTTCGGCTCTCTGTTTGCAGAGCACATCTGGAGTGGAAGTGAATTAAGGGCTGAGTAACTCCATACTCAGACTCATGTCTTTGGTTTGTTAGTGACGTTTTGCTCTCTCAAACCAGGGTAGAGCAGTTTATCCACTGCTGCAGTTATAGCATTCTTCAGAATTACTTGGGTATGGCGACAACTCATCTGCATCTCAGAGAACTGAATGTTTAGGTGTGCTCAGAAATAAAAGAAAAATCCTTTAAAGCCTTTGACACCAGTCTTAGGCTACTGGTTTAAATAAAATCCTTTAATGGTGCTTTGAAAGTATGTCAACTTCAGAGTTTTTCACAAGACTCAAAGATTCCTCCTGAGTCAAGGTGCCTGGGGTTGGATTGCTGTATCTGTATTTGCCCACTTCCTCGGAGGTTTGGTCAAGCTCTTCTTCACTCAGAGTTGCTCAGAGCCACTGAGGTATCAGTTTATAACCGCATTAATAGCGGGTGGCTCGGAACAATCCTGAAGCAAGGCTCAAATTTACATCTTTATTCACATGGTGATGAGTTTTTACAACTTTGTCAGTGTCCCTCTTAGAACTTTCACATTTTTCTGTGTAAAGAAACCAAGATACAGTGAACAATTGGTTTGCTATTACTTATTTTTGAGACAAGAAAAGAAATACAATTCTCTGTATTTTCTGAATATCAGAGCAGGAGAAGTTTGGGCTTGTAAAGACATAGTACGTTAGCAGTAACTGCACACGTTTTGTTCCTGTTGGTGCTGCAGGTAGTGCTCCTGGATCTGCCCTCTGTGGCACATCTAGAGCTAAATGTTAAACAAAAGGAAGGGAATGGTTAATGGTAAAAATCACGGTGTCAGAATAAGAAGGTGTTGAGTAGGTATGAAACAGAGATGCCAAACTCAGGGAATATTTTGATTGTTAATTTTACGTTGTCTTTAAACTCATGAAAATTACTGGTTTGTGCTTTGCTGTTGGGGGGCAGAAAATGCAAACCTCCTCTTTCTTTGCATTTTGAGTAGAACTGACGATGGCTGAAATGCGTCAGAGTCTGGAACAGGAACGAGACCGGTTGATCGCCGAGGTGAAGAAGCAGCTGGAATTGGAAAAGCAGCAAGCAGTGGATGAAACTAAAAAGAAGCAGTGGTGTGCTAACTGCAAGAAAGAGGCCATCTTTTATTGCTGTTGGAATACGAGCTACTGCGACTACCCCTGCCAACAAGCTCACTGGCCCGAGCACATGAAATCTTGCACACAGTCAGGTAACCTGGCTCTGGGCTCCTGTGTCACAGCTGGGAAGGGGGGGTTAGGGTGGGTGCAACACACAGTCCCTCAATACCCTGTATTTGTGTGGATGTGGCTGTGAAGAGTGACTGTGGGCTGGTGAACGTTGAGTAGTGGCTACTTTCCTTTTTTCCCTTTATTTTAGCTACTGCAACGCAGCAAGAAACAGATACTGAAATTAGCACAGAAACGTTAAATAAATCATCTCAGCCCAGTTCAAGTGTGCAGCCTACACCCACAGAAACAGCCAGCACCCCTAAGGAGAAGGAAGGTTCAGCTGATAAAAGCAAAGAGAGTGTTACAGTGAGTACCCTTTTGGTCACTTAAGCAAAAATAGCATGTAGGATTTCTCTGAAACCTACCCCTAAAGGTCTCCCTGGATCAGCCAGGAATTGATGAGCATTTCCATATTTCAAAGAGTGTGATCTGGGGAGTGAGACAGTGATTTGTTGTTGGGATTTTTTTCTTCATCTTGGCAAAAAAAAAATAATCTCCTTCAGTCCTCTGGGAACACCCTTTCCCCGTCACTCATTCCCAGTAAAACCTTGTGTTGGCTTGACTCATCCTTCCAGCCAAAGGGACTGGACCTCTTTCTCTCTCTCTCTCCAGGACCCATCAGTGTAGCTTCTGGTCTGGATCTTTCGATACAAGTTGCCTTCTGATAAGCAATACTGACTGCAGCACTTCCAAGCCCTTCTTGCCTGGGGGTTCAGAGGCCAAGCTCAAGACCTGCATTCAAATCAACTTCCTTTATCACAACAGACTGCCACTAGGGTACCACCATGTTCCATACACTGATACAGCAATTCATCTGGATCTACAGCTAACGGAGCAGTGTGCAGTTACGAAATCCTCCATAGCATCTACTCTGATAGTGTTCAGTAGGCAAGGATGAGCAAATGCTCTAATAAAAGGGACTTAACATTGCATATATAGAAAATGTTTATAGAGAAGATTCTGCTTTATAGGTAGGGCTTGACTATTAGCAATTACAGCATTGTTTTTCTTCTGCCCTTGCAAGATTTATTAAATGAAAAATTTTAGGGGGGGGGCCTGATCCTTCAAACCCTTACACGTGATCCCCCACATCAGTAGGAGCCTTGTTGTATTTTAAAATATTAAAAGCAAACTAATTTTGTAGTATTGTGATTCCAGCATGATGTCTCATTGAGATAGTCCTATAGAATTGGGAAGCATAGTAATCTAGAGAGCTGTGTTCATTTCTTGACACTTTTGCTACTGTCTGGTGTTAGATCTCTGGGCTTGACGTGTCATCTAAGGGAGTAGCTTGGGAAACAGATCTGAAGAGGGGACAAGGATGTGCTGTTCCACTGGAGTGCTTCGGTGTAGTTAAACTCTGGCTCAGTCTGTGTTCATATGCATTGTCTGTGGCAGCACAACCTTTGTATTACTGGGGAAATAAGGAATGGGAGAAAATCCGTTACCTAAAACTTTTGCCAGGGAATATTCCAGTCATACAGATCTGGAATTGCTTTCACATAGATGTTCTACCTGAAACATCATGCTGTATGTGTTGATCATGTTCATAATTTGAATTTTTGTTTTATTAACAAAGAAGTAACCTGTGAATTCATTAAGACGCAAAATTTTAACACAAACAAAACATCCAACATCAATTTCATATTGCAATAATAATAATAATAACAACTAGGTGGAATTTATGTAAAAGCTGAGACTTCTACTGAGGTTGCCTGTGCTGTCTCTGCAGATAGCAACAGGTGTGACAAGCAACCAGCCTATAAAACTGGTCCAGGTACCGCAGACCACCACCTATATTCCACCCACTCAACCCACAATTGTAAGTACAACATCATCATTTAAAGTCTGCAGTAGTGCTGTTCCTGGCAGTGAAATTGCTCAGTATTTCTGGGGGGTTGTCTCCGTCTGCTGTTCTATCAAGATATGAATTCACTGGTATAGTCTCAACTTGCAGTGCAAAATGTCTTATTTTGCTGTGCAACATTCCACCCTCTCATTTCATCAGTCGTTGTTACAAGGATTCAGAGATGGTCACCGAGTACATTAGTTACTTGTCCGTTTCGTGTATATACTTGACCACACCATCAGTGTAAATATATAGAATTCATTTAAAATATCTTTAAAATATCTTTTTTGTCTATGGTATACTAAAGATATTTAATTAATTCTGAGCTATGCTTGATATTCCTGTGACATCTCAGTAATTATGAAGGAAAATATGCATTCATCAGCAGTGTATCTCCCATGCAGTCTTGCACATTTGCGTTATGAAATTATGAGAGAGAGCATTGGAATCAGACCTGGTTTTTTCCATTAAAGACTTAATCAAGGACACTTGAATTCCCTAGAGTCAGTCACAGGAGAGGGGACAGAAGTGAGTTCCATTTTTGTATTTTATGCAGCATAATATCCCATTCTCGCAGCGGGTTGTGTTCTGCAGTGCTGAGCTGATTCTTCTCACCAAAAAGAAAGGTGCTGACCCCCTGCTGGCTCAGTGGTGGGTTCAACTGCAAAGCCCATACGTGTGTAACTTCAGTCCATTTTCTGTCTGAAGTTAGATAATTGGTAACAGTAACCATGTACTAATTTGCCAGTGTACTTCGGTCGCACTGATTGTGAGGCCCCGCACCCCCCCCCGGCGGCAGGGTGTGTGTCTGTGTGTGTGATGGCTGTGAATACACACCCGCAGTGTGTCACAGCCACTCTCGTCCACACAAACCTTTCTGCTCTTAGTGGGGATCATGACTTTTCACATTCCCAGCGGTGTTTTGGCTCAGCTGAGAGCACTGTGCACCTTCACAGCGTTGGCCCCGAGTTGCTTGGACTGAATTACCGTAACAGCAAGGTTTTCTATGTGTTTTAAAATCAATTAGCAAACAACAAAGACGTTAGGTCATTTGTGAATAGCTGAGAGGTTGTAAGATCATAAGGTGGTTTTGTGTAATATTCAGAAAAATGGCAGTTACCTTCATCGGATTTCTGTAATACAAAGTGTATTGAGTTAATGTAAAGCATCATTGGAACGTCTGAAAGGTTTCAGCCTTTATTTGTGCATGTTTAAAACTTTGTACACATTTGCATTAGTCTTGCACAGCTACAGACACCTCTGTATTCTAATGACTGCACGTGCAATTTAACTGATTTTAAACCTTAGTGCATGTTTAATATGTATGCAAAATGTACATATGTGTAAAACTGGCAGAGGTGGAAAATTTACCTCTCAGGGAATGATCTTAACACATTTTAAGGAGTCTCACACATTCCATATCCTGATTCACTATAAGAACTGAAACTTAATTTTTTCATGTGTGTAAGTGTGTATATTTAAAAGTCGACTGTGGCAACCTTGATTTCCCCACCTGTAGTGCTACCCGTGATTTACAGAACGGCTTCTTTAGGGTTCAGTTTGCACTTTGTTTCCAACTAGGAATTTCTTCCTCTGAACAACTTCCAGCGTATCTTCTGGGTACCGTTTCCATGGAACCCTCTGTACGCACCTGAAATCATTACAAAATGGCAGCAATCTTGAATTTATTTAGCAGATTAATTCCGTGTTTGGTTGTTATTCTTTCTGCAGTTAAAATAACGTACAAACAGGAATTCGGTGTCTCTGCATCCCAGGGAATGGGATGAGTAGGCTTCTGGAAGGCACAGGCTGTAGGCTGTGCTCCCTCCCAGCAGGGACACTGCCATCTCTTGAATCCCAGTAAGGCACTAATGGTTCCTTAAAGCAGTGTGGGGAAACACTGGGCTTCAGTGAACTTGTATTTCTTTTTCCGTGTTCTCTGGGGAATGTCCCAGTACCACGGGGGGAAGATCCGTGCATCCCTTTCAGATTCCTCAAAATCTCACCTCCTGCTTCTGCCACAAAGCGCTGGGAGCCGAGGGGGATGCAGGGGTTTGGGGGCCGGTCGTGCAGCACTGGAATTGTATCAAAACACAGTCTGTAATGGCATCGACATTGCTAGACTTTCTCATGGTGTTGGAGGAAGGTTAAGACACAGACTTCAGATTCAATAAATCCTTTTCCAGATCTTCCAGAGAGATGTGACCGTGACCAGATTGTTTAACATTCTCGTGCCTTTGTCTCTGCATCTGTAGAATCACTGACCACCTCTAGAGATGTCCCGAAACGTCCTTTGTCCAGATTTATAAATCATGATCTGTATGATGGAAGTGAAAAGTTTATTCTATATTAATATTTTTACAGGGTGTATAAGACAGTTCCCAGTAATGCTGATGTTTTTGTTATTGATTTGTGCAAAAGTTTAACTTAAGTACTTTTTTTTTGTTCAAATGGATGTTCTTTGTTCTCTTCTGTGTGGACTGGATGCATGGGGGAGGGAGTTCCTTTGGGGAAAAAACTTTAAGTAACGTGTAACAAGAATATACTTATAAACAAGGGTATTTTTGTACTCCAGTTTGATTTGTCAAAACTTTTTGAAATGGCAAAGGATTTTCTTAGCCCTTTTTCCTCTTCCCATGTATTAATTTGGGGAAAATACATAACTGGACGTAGCTATGAAAACCTGACTCTCCAAGCACAGACAGTGTGTACAGTACCTGTAGGAACCACCTGTCCCTCTAATTACCTAGCAGTAATAACGATACAGAAACTCTTGGCTCTAGGAAAGTAATACACTACTTTCTACCCCGGAATGAGGTAATAGTGCGGTAATAAAGGTATTAATTCTTGGAACAAAATTGGAACTTGTTCTGGATTTTCCCTGGAAAAGAAATCTCTATTTCTGTGGTCATGTTTATGTGACCTTTAACATAACAATATGTTTCTCTTGGTTTTAATCCACAGACCATTCCTGTGGTGGTAAGTCCTTCTGCTGGGACAGTGGCAATGAGAACTGGAGTTCAGTATGTTCAGACCACAATGCCAGTCCAAGTACGAAGAGTCTAACTGCTAACAAGAAGTCCATACACTTGTTGGAATAAATAAATCTAATAGAAATGTGAAAAATAAACAGTTCTTTGGATTAACCTCAAAGGTTCAGACTTTAGCTTTGTATATGTGTACAAAGCATTAACTACACTACATTAATGTAAAGCATTAGCGCTGGCTTAGAAAAGCTGAGGACAGGTAAGATCCATATTAAATCTATGCTTCTTTTGTAAATAATGTACAATTTGTGGATGTCATTAAAGTTAGAGTACCATCTCCTTTTTATATTTGTATTGACTTTAACTTATAAAGAGCGTTTGAAGTTGGAAAAGGAAGGTTTAAAACGGCCTTATCACGAGCTAACACTGAAAACTGGTCTTGGGAAACGGCAGTTACGCGTCAAATGATAGAATCATGAGAATCTGAACAACCTGGTTTGCATTTGGGTTGAAAACAATTCCTGCACTTTGAAACTCTTGTAGAATTTCTTTGAGCAACCAAATGATGAAGGGTATCTTTTTCGGTCAATTGTATTCGGCTAATTCTGGCATTTCCAATCTGTGGACCTGAAATCCATAAAGATTTACATTGTTTTTTACAATGACCAGACTGTTAAAATTTATATTGTTTACAGGTTACAATTAAGTTAAAATTTCCTTCAGTCTAATATCAGGAAAGTTGGAAAGTGTAACACCAGCTGCTTGTAGCGCGGTCTCTGATCATTGATGTCAAAGATAGAGAAAAGTTTTTCCTATGCTTCACAGTTCAGTTTTCTTTCTTTTAAAATCCTCCAAAAAGGACTTTGAAAAGCTTTTTTGAATGGAACAAGAACTAGGTGCAGAGAAAAACACGGAAACGTGGGCAAAGGACTTTGGATGCTGGGCCAGAGCATGTATTATTTATATGATGGATTTTCTGTTTTTATGTAAGCATGAAGCAGTACAGTATGAGAGAGAGTAACCCCTGGAAACGCCGTCTGTTACACTTATACTGTAGTTCCATTTTGTATGTTGTGTAAAACGAAAGCATTGAACAAAGCAAAGGTGATGTATGTATATGAGAAAATTAATTGTATGATATCATTCCAGTACATTCTGTTGTACATTTTAGTCATGTTGATTTCTCCCATTGTTTATAAAAGGATGCGGTTTGTACAGTCTCCAGCTAGTACCCACATTAGAGGGGAAAAATGTATTAGAAGAAAAAAAAAGCGAGAACAGAATATTCGTGAATTGCAGTTGTGTCCAAAATAGCCTAGCTGGCCTTATTTGTGAAGCATAATTGCTTTTAGCATATGGAAGTATTTTTTCACATTTTCTTTGTATAAAATTTGTATTAAACTTAAATATCTTTTTTGACAATTGTGTTTCTTTGTGACTGAGACAGGTGACACACACGATATGCTTTGGGTTTCGCCGATTTTTCGAGGAACTTCACAATTTTTTTTTTAATTAAACTGTTTTAGAAAAACGTTCTGTGTTCCTGCATTTCCAGTTCCCTTTCCATCTGGACGAGTGTTCGTTTCCGCACAGTCTCCAGATCACAGGTAATTCCACTTACCTTGGGACCTTTGACCCTGAGCCTGCCAAATCCAGCCAAGCGGCTGGAGCTCTGCAAAGGAGCGGCTGTTTCTGTGTCAAACTCGGCAGCATCCCTTTTCCCTCAGTTCTTACAGCAGCCGAGGCCGGTTGCTTGTCGTGTAACATTCATGCGCTGGTCGGACGGGGGCTGGACCCATACGCGGAGTCTCGTTTGGTGCATTTTGGGTTAGAAATGGGGAAATTCCATGGGGAGCTTGCTCGTAGCCCTCTGAGAGGGCACTGATTGGGGAGGCTACTGAAAGGTGAGGGCATGTTGCTGCTGATCCCTCGGGGCTTGGGGACAGAATTCACCTGGAGTCTGAGCTTAGAACTCTGTGTATTATTGTTATCACCTGCCGTTATCAGGTGGGCCTTCAGTCAGGAGCTCCTCACCTGGGCCACTCAACTCCGGAGCTTCACCGAGTGGTGGCAGGAGCCAACGCCCGGCTCTTCAGTGCTTCCAGCGAGCTCTGCTGTGCTCCCCTCCTCCGGCCGGCTGCGGCTCTCACAGGAAAGCGGCTAAATCCCGCGGTTTTGGTTCTGTGAAACGCGGGCTGCGCTGGGTCCCGCCGGCGGGTTGCGGGGGGGAGGCCCGGGGCGCGTGGCGCTGCCGGCGCGTGGGGGTGTGTTTGGCCGTGAGGGGAGGGTGCCCTCGCGTGGCCACACGGGGGAACTGCACGGAAACACCAGGGCGGGACATTGGTGAAATGGTGCGATTGTGGAATGTGGCCTTTCATCCCCAATGACGATGTGTATTTTTGCAACTGTTTTCTTTGCAGTTTTCTGGTTATTTGACAAAAATGATGCATTCTGGTTTTGCATCTGAACTACTCAAACCTGGGCAAGGCCCAAGCGTGACTTTTGTCAGGTGTTTTCAGGAAACAGTTCAGATCCAGGTGCTGCTTTCACAGAACAGAAGCGTGAGGACGGAGACACGAGGGGCTGCTCTCTTTTGGTGTGTGTCATCTCAATGGTGCTTCAGTGCTGGAGCATGTCCGGAGGAGAGCCACCAAGCTGGTGAGGGGGTCTAGAGAACAAGTCCTATGAGGAGAGGCTGAGGGAACTGGGCATGTTTAGTTTGGAGAAGAGGAGGCTGAGGGGAGACCTCATTGCCCTCTGCAACTCCCTGAGAGGAGGGTGTAGAGAGGTGAGTGTTGGCCTCTTCTTCCAAGTGAATAATGACAGGACCAGAGGAAATGGTCTGAAGCTGCGGCAGGGGAGGTTTAGATTAGATATTAGGAATGACTTTCCTGAGAGGGTGGTCAGGCACTGGAACAGCCTGCCCAGGGAGGTGGTGGAGTCACCGTCCCTGGAGGGATTTAAGAAATGGGTAGACATGGCTCTTCAGGGCATGCTCTAGTGCCCGAGATTGTTGGTTTGTGTCTGTTTTTGTGGTTTTTTGTGGGTTTTTTTTGTGGTTGGACTCGACGATCTCAAAGGTCCCTTCCAGCCATGAAGATTCTGCGAGATTCTGTGCGAACGGCTTTTTGGTTGTTAAGAGCTACATTTACTTTGTGTTGTGCTCCACAACTTGCTGCAAGTGCAGCCCTGAGCAGATGGGTGGGGAGGCCCTAAGGATAAGGTCAATGTGGGGGGAACAAAAGAGTATTTTGTTTCAGCCCTTTGCCTGAGGTGGCTGCAGGAGGAGGTGTGTGGTGTGGATTGGCCCCAGCACACCTCAGTCAGGCTCTGGCACAAGGAGGGCACTGTGTGGGGTGGCTGGTCCCACCACGAAGGCTCAGCAGGTGGCTGTGTGGCTGAGCAGGGACACACACCCCAGCCTGAGCCGGGACACAGCTCGGGCAGGACCAAGGTCTGATGTGCTGAGCAAGAGCTGGTCTTAGGAACGGGATCTTCGTTGTGGTGAGTCTTCCTGTAAGTGTGTTGTTGCTTCTTTTGTCACTTCTCATTTTAAGTGTCCAGAAAGGTCCCTGCTGTCAGGACAAAAGGCCTTCACAACTCAATATTGCTCTTTGCTCCTTTTTCAAGAGCGTAAGTGGCTGAAACTTAAGAAAAGGTAAGAATCTCCAGGTTTTGTTCTTCTCACATTCAACATATTGAAATAAATGGTATGGATTTTATCAAATTTTGCCTGTTAAAGATAATCTACCATCTTCTTAGAATCCTGATACAAGAGAAAACCTAATGGTGAAAAGTGGAAGAGAAGGGATACTGTGAATTATGATGATCCATTTTTGCACAGTACCTTGTAAGTCTGTTGAATATTATTAGATATGAAGTTCTGGTCATGCTGAGGCCAATTCAAACTTCAGGGATAAGCCCTCGTGATTTGCATGACACGATTTGGGGTACAGATTGTTACCACTTAGAGTATTAGCATTTTAAGTCCCAGATTTTTCAGAAACAAAATACATTTGTCTGGGGCCGAAGTGGCGGCAGAGACTCAGACTGACATCGAAGTGTTCACCCCGGCTGCTGGGAGAGACTCTGCTTCCTTTACAAACGATTACAAAACCTGTAACGATCATGGTGTGAACATGAAATTACTGGAATGTTAGCAACTGGTAATTGGTAGTTTTAAAAAGCTGATTTCTTTTACTTTGGAGCATTGTATTCATATTAGTTATCTGTAAGGAAACGTCAGAGCAAAGGCTACTCTTCGATGAAATGTGATGACCTTCATGTGGGGTGCACGTGGTGTTGGGGTCTTCTGTTTCGAGAAGTATTTTGGTCCCTGAAGTGTCAGGAAGGAGCTGTGACCGCAGCTCCTGCGCCCTCACCCTTACGGTCCCATGCAAGACTTCACCCCGTATGAGCTCACCGGAGCTCTCTCTCACATCCCTTTTCTACTTCAGATTCAAATTGTCATTATCAAGGGTTCAGACACGTACCGACACATGGAACATTTGATGGCAGAACAGATAATGGTATCAGCTGTACATCTGAACAACGGTACTAACGGGACTTGCTTGGTGTGTTCACAGCAGACTGAGCTTTTCTGGAACATATTTGGGAACCTTGTCATAGTTGTAATATAAACGCACCGGTGAAAGGGCTGAGCAAGGCGTGTGTGTGTGTGTCTGTGTGAATGTTTATGTGTGTGTGCGCGCACACCCAGGCCTTTTGGATGTTCATGAGTAAAAAGCTGTTACAGATCCCCTCTTGTAGCCACCACAGGGTCCCTGGAACAGTAAATCCTCATACTCCTGCTGTAGCGAGAGATGAACGTGTGCCACACTGACTGGGAGGAACTGGTACAGCGGTCTGACAAGGGACCACGTCGCTGTCAGCTGTGCTGCCTGTGGGTGAGTGAAAAGCCTGAGCTGGGAGGAATATGGAGGGATCACTTACAACGATGGTACCTGGAGCACAAGCAGGCACCAACAGAGAACAGGCCCAAAGCTCTGCCAAGAACTTTGGAGATAGAAGCAAGGTGCCACACTGACTGGGAGGAACTGGTACACGGGTCTGACAAGGGACCGTGTCGCTGTCAGCTGTGCTGCCTGTGGGTGAGTGAAAAGCCTGAGCTGGGAGGAATACGGAGGGATCACTTACAACGATGGTACCTGGAGCAGAAGTAGGCACCAACAGAGAACAGGCCCAAAGCTCTGCCAAGAACTTTGGAGACAGAAGCAAGAGAGCTTGAGAATCTGTAAATACATTCAGAAAGCAAAATCTTCTAAGTAGCTTTAGGAGAAAAAAAAAAATCAGTAGAGAGCTTGAGAATCTGTAAATACATTCAGGAAGCAAAATCTTCTAAGCAGCTTTAGGAGAAAAAAAAAAAAAATCAGTACTGGGATAATTGACTCAAATAAGGCAGGTGTTAAATTTGGAATTTCAAGGAAGAGCAATTAGCTGATTGACAGGGTGTTAAAAGCTGGAGTTGTGCTTTCTTAGGAGTCTGCCATCCCTGGCGTTTGTTCCTTTTTGAAACGTTTTATTTACAGGTGTCCTTATCTTGCAAGCATCACTCAAGTCTCCATTGAGTTTGATTTCCTTGACTTGTGGTAAAACTTCCTATTTGTGACAGTCTTACAGCTGGAAAACCTTGAGGGAGAAATTCTGCCAGACTTGTGTCTCAGCAGGCCCCGAGACAAGCAACACCTCTGCTAGAAAAATCATGTCTTTTTTTGTTTTGTGTTGTGCTCAGCCCGGAGAGCAGCTCCTTGCAAATGCCTCCAGAGCGTGTACTTTAGAGGCTGCTTTGTTCACGCCTGCTGTTGACAGGTCCAGCCAGCCTGTTTCACAGCTGCTGCCTTTGGAGCCAAAGGCTGAGATGGGATTATTTTGAGATCAGAGTTTCTGTTTCAGCCCAGCAGAACATCGCCTCTCAGGTCCAGCAATGAATCCGTTCCCCGAGGTGAGTCTTTTTAGGATACTCAGGAGCATCACTCAGGCTTGTATAGCACTTGTGTCGCACTTGTAATGTGCACAACCCTGACTGGATTGATCTTGCTTCACACACGATAGATAAGGGGATTATATTACGTTCTGCATCTCTAACACCTTGTTCCAGCGAGGCTCTGATCCCTCCGAGGTTACTTGGCGCCATAGCAAGCAAGAATGAGCAATTTTGAAAGTGAATTAGAGATCCATCCAGGCCCAGAGAATTGAAATATTTTGACAGCAAGAATTAACAGGCCAGCTCAGCAGAAATCCTAAAGCTGAAGCTTACTTGTAGACGCATTTATTTACATAAAAATAAATATGCACAACTGCAGTATTTGCCTGTCCTTTATCTTCCTTTGCAGGACAAGTCAGATTTGCCGAGTGCCCACGTCCTCCAAGTGGACACAGTCGCTGTCTTTGCCCCAGGGAGA